GTTTGTGCCGCACTGAAGACGGTGGTTTTAATCAGTTTGATCTTTTCTCAGTGGTTTTAATCTGAAACTCCCTCTCAGAACAACAGTAATTTGTGAAACGAAGCATTTGCAAAAGCATGTTGTAAAGCTGCAAGTGATCATTGTAGAATAGAAGAACGCTATACAGATTTGATCACAGCTGACATCATTCACAAATTTTCCCTCGTGCATCTTCACTATCTTCAAGCATATGCATACAAAGAGCAGAATGACATGCCTTTATACTATATTTAAAACACAACAGTCAATTAAAAATGATTAATTAAACAAAAAGTGATATAAAAACTGGGAAAAGTGTGTATTATTAATTCATTAGCTCCACAGACACTATGACATAAACAAAGTAGCACTTCGTTTTATAGTCCTATTCCCCACTTATAATTATGAGTAATAACTTACCCCTAAACCCAAACTTATGTTGTTACAGTACTTTATATACCCAATAACGTACTTTCTTAGGTATAAAACAAAGTGCAACCCAACAGTATAAACAGAAAAGAGTCAGATCCATTCAGATTCTAAAAATCTAGTAGTGTTGACCATGAGCACAACATTTTTGGGTGCACATGTAAAAAGAATGAAAGTCCAGTGTGAAGCGAACTAAATCAAGGGGTCACAGATGTACTTTGGCCTCACTTCCCCCAGACAGTCACCGTGGATAACTGAAATATTAAGGCTTTTACCCCTAATTCGAGGAAATGGAAGACAACAAGTGTCATCAAGCTTCTCGACACACCTTCTCAAGTCAACCTTTATGAAATAAACACCAGGCCACATTTTATGTCACCAATGAGAGCGCAGCAGGATGCCGGTAACTCGCGTGGCTTCAGTGATTCCAATGAGATCAAAACTCAGTGGTTTCCTCTGTCTGCTTCACAGGCAACACAGAGACACGAAGAGATCACACAGAGATATATGCATCGCCTTAAAGACAAGAAACACGAGACTGTCCAGACAAAAACTATTTGGAGAAATGAACACACTGCCAACATCAGATATACCAGACATAGATACAGGTAAGCGTGTTTCTGAAGTATATCACTGAAAGATGCAACCCTTTACTTTGTGTTTGAGACAATGTGTGATTTTGTGTAACATCGCACTCTTATAAAGGTTCTTTATTGGCATTGGTGGTTTCGTGAAGAAGCTTTAACATCCCCTTTCATTCCACAAAAGGTTCTTTATAGTGGAAAAGGGTTCTTTAGATTATTCAAATGTTCTTCAATCACACCAAGACACAAATTGTTATTTTACTGAAATATTATTAGAAAACCAGAAATGGTTCTTAATGGCATTGCTTTGAAAGCTGCCTTTTGAGAGTGTACAGTAACTTATTGACCCTGAAAAATGACTTTAGTTAAATAATGATAAGATCATTATCATATTTTTTGATTAGTGTTATATGTAAGGTTTCATTAGTTAACATGGACTAATAATGAATAGCATTTATTAATCTTTAATGTTAATTTCAACATACAGTACTTATACATTTTTTAAATGAAAAGTTGTGTTTTTTTAATATGAGCTAATGCACTGTAAAGTAACACGAACAAACTATGAACAGCTGTGTTTTTATTAACGTTAACAAATATGTATAAATACTGCAACAAATGTATTGCTCATAGTTAGTTTGGTAACATTTTAATGGGACAGTTACACGTTACTATATGTACTTACTAGTAATAACAGTAAATTAGGCATGATTACAGGTAACTAACCCTAAACATAACCCTAATCGTAACTCTATAGTACGTAAGTACATATTAATCTGTTATTTGAGTACAATGTAACTATCACCCTAAAATAAAGAGTAACCGTTAGTTCATGTTAGTTAATAGTTAATGGTTAACAAATGAAACCTTATTGTAAATTGTGTTTACAGTGTTTTTGACTAATTTCAAACACATTTAGAATAACATTTATTTTATTTAATTAGTTTAGGTGTGCCTATGACACATGAGTACTTGACTACAAAATATTTTACAGTGCTGATAGAAAAAATGGGGAGATTTGCCAACATTTATCCTGAAACATGAAACAATTGTGTCTCAAATTGGTTGAAATGTTGCCCATGTGTGCGTATTTAATAATCTTCAGTCCATCAGATGGCTAACTGTTGGAAATTCTGTGGGCCAGTGATTCATCGTGATGCTGGGAAAGTTAAGCGGCTTGTAGGTGACAGGTGGGCACGAGAAAGAGAGAGAGAGAGCGAGAACTTGCAAAAGCCCCTAAATAGCACACAGGAAGCAACACGATGGTAATGTGAGATAGGTGTGCATTTTAAACATCTCCCTCCCAATGCTTTCATCGCTTCATATGTCACTGGACTTCCAATATAAACACTATTTCCTTCCTGCATGGGCGCTGAACATGGGAAGGAAAGGCTGATTTGGAATGACAGGATTATGAGCATGCAAAATCACACAGTGTTCTGGAACTACAGACGGATGGCCGAGAAACCGAAACAATCTTCATGCTCATGAGTGCGATGCTCAAGATTCCAGTGTGCCAGGACATTAATGTGTGTGATTTTTGTTTCGTTTTTAAATTGTGTCTACAGGGAGCTGATGATTGATTACAAAAGGCTGTGATTTGTTGCAGGAAGTCCTACACCCTTTCCCATAGGAACTGTGTTCTTTCTGTGATGGGAAAGGTTTTATATGTAGGTACTGGTACTGGTCTGCCAGTTAAAACTAGCTGTATGTGTATATTCTGGGTTGGGTGTTTTATGCAAATACAGAATATAAGATTCTTAAGACATTCTGTAAAACATCTTCACAAAATTGGCTCCTATTTATCAAGTGTGTAAAATGTACTAGCTATAAACGCACACTAGAGGGCACACTAAGTTGTTCAATTGCTCATTCTTTTGGTTATTGATTTGAACGAACCCCTAAACTCCCTAATTGGCCCATAACATAACCTGTTATGCTACCAACACTGTAATAAAACCTCAAATTGATTATCTGGCTTAATGTTGTGTTCAAATTTTCAGTCACACATAATATATTAAAATCTCATTTTAAAACGATATGTATTTAAATATATTTCTATTAATAACACTGCAAAAAAATCTTTTCATGATTAGTAATCACAACTTTTTTTGTTTTGTCAAATCAACTTAAATAATTTATTTAGTTCAGATAACATATAATTTTGAGTTTCTGATGATTAAATCATTCTCCTTCATTGTATCAACTCACTTTTTCCATTTCAATGAACTTACATTTTTAAGGTAACCAGGTTACTTACTTTTTTAAGGTAAACCAACAATATTTTTTTACAGTGAATAGATATAAATTTCAAATGATTAATATTAATTTAATAAATTAAATTTTATAATTAAATAAATACATTAAATTTATATTTAAGATAAATAGGCCTATGGAAATACATTTAATTTTAATTTACCGAATAAATAAATAAATTGATTTAGTCAAATAAATTATAAATAAAAAATAGATTGCCTATGTTTGACCTTTATTCACTCTTAAAAATAAAGGTTCTTTATAGGCATATATATGTTGTTGTTGTTGTTTTTGTTTTGTTTTTTAAAAAAAGGTTCTTTGGATGATTAAAATATTACTGTTCAGTGTTCACTGAAAGGTTAGGGAATCAAAAACGCATCTTTTTAGAGTTGCAGTGAAAATAATGGTTCTTTTATGGCATCGCCTTTCTGAACCTTTATATTTGAGAGTGTTTTACCAGGAAAATAAAAACTATTGATATATTTAAAATGTCTTTTACAAGAGTCCTGGCCAAGACATTACAAAAAATAAGACACGATACATGAAAACAGCACAAATGTCAATAAAATATTTAACATCACGGTCACCTCAAACAGCGGTTTGAGACAAAAATGGGCTTTGCTAAACGTTTCTTCTATTTCTAAGTGAACTAGGGTGTTAAAAGCCTATTGTCTATGTGTGAGTTGATCTAAAATATCTTTTGTTCTCATCGCAGAAACTACATATCTAGAAAAGGCATCCACATCTTTACATCTCACCTCCACACAAACACATTTTGACCCTCTAAAACAATGGCAGACCAAGTGTCTCTATCTGATCTGAGTTAAAACTCTTTATCACTCTTTATCAGATACAAACTACCACGTTCAAGTGCCTTGTGAGGGTCACATGCAGGAGAACTGGATTCCTGGGTCCTGTCATAGGCAACCACTGACACACACACACACACAAACATGCAGAAATACACTTTGAAATATGCAGAGAAAGTCAGGCGCACAGCTAAAAGGAGCGATTGTGGATCGCCTTTCTTTCATTTACTGCGGCCTTAGGGTTTATATCATAAGTTTCTGTGAAGTGAGAAGTATGGAGGATATACGTGCCAGAATGTTATCGTTCTTTAAACAGATCTTGTCTGCCAAGAAGAAAAACGGATTTGGTAAGAAAAATCTGATACTGTTCTGTTGAAGTGGATGCCTGTGCATGATCAGTTCACATAGCGATGAGTTTTTCTACTTAAGTACACAAATGCATGTACTGTATGAGTACTTGTGTATAGCACTTTCCTCAAGCAGGGTACAAAATATGACTTGATACTCAAAATAATAATACAAAAGTCATTAGGCCTAAAATAGTCTGTAAAAGCAGGTACTGATCACCAACCTAATATTATAAGCAGCTGCATGTTTTCATGCTTATTTCATTTTTATGAGGTTCGAAATGTTTACAATCATGTTGCCAGAATTCAGGACAAAATAAATATTTAATATTTCATTAAATGTATAAAATCTGGATGGATGGACAGTTTGGGGTTTATCTATATGCTCTGTAAATTAAAGAAATGTATATATTCATGATTGAATGGTTGAGCTTGACAAATTATTTATTGACTTTTGAAAAAAATATATAAAATGGAATAAACTGAATTTGAATGGAATGGAATTGACTTGCCTTCTAGTTATGTTGTAAAAAAAGGTAATTAAGGAGGTTACCATAGGCTATTCTTATGCAAAATCAATATTATATTCTTAAACAATTTACTTATCTAAAAATTAAAGATATAGGAAGCAAAATATGATCATTGAAACTAAATATTAAATTCAAATATTACTTTTTTGTACTTGCATGCACTTAGAGTGTACCTATAAAGTACTGGTTAATATAAGATATGTTTAGGGGTAAGTTCAGGGTTAGCAGCTACGTATATTACCCAGAATTACTATAATAAGTACATAGTATGTACATGGGGAACAGGACTGTAAAATAAAGTGCTACCTAAATTCTTGTTAATTAGTTAGTCATTAAACTTGTTTTATGACATTTAACATCAGTTAAACAAATTGTGTCAAAATCATATTTTTGCATGATTTTGAATTCATGAACTCTTGACGTGTCCATGCAAAACACACAAAAAATATAGATATTTAATGTTTAAAACAAGCCACTTTTCAGGTTAATGTAATAGGATTTGAGCCTCTAATTCTTTTTAGTCATAGAATTCAAAGTGTGCCATTCATGGATACTGTACATGCACACAACTTTGTCAATCTCATGCTGAAACACAGACTGCTTTATCTCCAGCAGTCTTGGAGAAAGATGTTGGTTTTGTGGGTCTGTTTCTGCAGTGCTGCCAGACAGAGATAATATGGGACAACAGTTGAGAAATATTTTGAGGCCGTCGTTGAAGAAGGCAGGTGAACAGAGCCAGAACAGGGAAACTGCTAATTCAAGGAATCTTTGCAAACAACCAGTTACAACATATTAATCATTCATTACTCCCAGCCAGGAGTTTAGCATAACACATTATCACATAATTAAAGCGGTTAGTGTTCCGAACTAATTTAGCGCAAAAAAATGTGAGACCTAATACACAGCGTATTGCGAGACACAACTTTTCTGTTGCTGTGTTTCCCCAAAGCTTCACATATCATTGCCTAATGAACATGCATATGCAAAAAAAGCATCAAAATAACTGGTATTGCACTATTTTGGATTGAGGGGTGGACCAGAAATGGCTGATAAACTCCCAAAAACAGTCTCTGTGTTGTTATATTTCACTCCTTCAGGAAGGGAAGATACTCCTGAAACAATAGCCGGGGTCTAAACAAATATTATGTAATGTTCCCTGACCTCCAGCCACATGGACATTCTCAAATTGAGACAGGTTTTAAGATCGCCCCCCAGCGTGACCTGTGACTATACAGAGGGCGTACAGTATTGCCCACGTTGGGGTGATGCCTATTGAAGTGAATGAAACTCATTCCTCAAAAAAGTCAAAATTTTTTGGTATTAATATTGGACATCTGGTTTAGTATAAGTGCTGTTTCAATCCTTATGTGAGCTGGTCACCTATGCAGCACATTTTGGCATTGCAGCATTGCTCCAAATAGTATATATATAGTTCTTTTTGTAATGGATTTTACATTAGGAAATCTGTATGATGTTTCTTTTTAGTTACAATGCAGTTGCTAGACAGTGCGATTTTGGAACAGAGCTAGAGTTTCTATTTTTGGGAACAACTTACAATAAACAATACTTTCCATCAGAGTTCACAATATCCATCCACTGGGTTTGTGGGAGTCATGAGATCTCACAAATCATGAGCATGAGATGGGAAATAAAATGATGTAACAGTAAAAGGAGAGCAGATTGAATCAAACAGCACTGACTTCCTTTCTTTCTTTTGTGTCTCCTCATCCTCAGAGGCTCCTGCAGCAGTCATGTGTTCGGCAGACACAATCTTCCGGTCGTCCCTGCGTTCGTCCCTGGAACAGGTACAGAATACAGATCACTAACTTATTATATATGTCTAATGTGTGGTCAGAGTATCTTTATAAAACATAAACTCAACTATTAATTGCTTTTTTACTATGCAATGGGATAATTCATGGTCATCTCATGATGCACCAACTCTAAATCAAACACAGCAACCCCAGTTGTGCTACATTGTAAACATTCGTAACTCATTTTGAAAAGGGGGAAGCGTGTTCAAATTTCAAAAGGATTTTAAGCAAAGTCGGGAAAATGTGTCCTATTCAAAGTTTGATTTCCTTTTAATTGACTGTTTCACCTCAACCTTGGCACCTGCGCCATAAATAAGGTGGGTTATGGACACGCCCCCTGATCCTCAACCCCTCAAGGTTTATCATGCAGCTGGAACACACAGATAAGAGAGCTGAAGGAGAGACAGAGTGTGTTATTGAGTCAAACGCATTATTTTCCCTGCTCTAGCGTTTCTTTTACTGCTTGATGCAGGGGTCTGTAATGCTAGGTTCTACATATCTGGATGCAGACGTAATAATCCTTCAGTCTATGAGACTACGTACATGGGAAGCTGTGTTTTGTTCTGCTTCATAACCTCCTTTTTCTGTCTCTTAAAATGTTTATTGCTATGTCCAAACATTTTATTATGCATAAGAGATTATTCATTCATGGCATGCACATTCAAATGTTTAGATGTGTCACACAACATATTGTAGGCCTATATTTTAATGTACAGTCTGTATAGGCAATATACGTAAGAAATAGCATAATAGCAGCTGTCACTGCCTTTGTACCTTATTTACACCTTAAGGGTATAAATTAGTACCTTTTGAAAGGGTGCTACCCCAGTGACAGCTTTTGTGTAATTCACATTCATATTTTAATGTAGGCTACATAATTTACTGATCTGTTAAGCATTATATTCAGAGTAGTTTCCATGTTTTAATATATCATATTGTAACTGATTTAGTCAATGTAACGACTATAATGGTCAATACATTGTTACTTTATCATCTTTTTGTTACATCTTTTATTAATATTTTGAATTCGTTTTTATTTTGATATTTTCCATTTTAGCTAAAGTTATAGTCATTTTTAATGTTTTTGACATTTTTATTAGTTTGTGTTTTTATCCCTATATATAGCAATTTGATGTATTTAGGTAGTAGCCTACATATACCAACGTTAGACTACATGAAACAAGAAAAGTTGCCTTGGAAAGTAGCTGAATATTTCAAAGTTAACATTAGGCCTACCAGTGTTGTAGTAGATACCACCTCAGTCCGAGTCGAGACCGAGACCAGAGAGAGTCGAGTCCGAGTCGAGACCGAGACCAGAGACGGTCGAGTCCGAGTCGAGACCGAGACCAGTGAGGGTTGATTACCTAATTTACTTTTATTTACTTAGAGAAACACTTTTTTTTTTATTTTATTTTTTTACTGAATTTACTTAGAGTTTAAAAAATATGATCAGTTTAGGGTAAAAAGGCCACATAGGTGGTGTTAAAAGTAATTTTATTACAATTTGTCATGCGCAGTTGCGCACTAGAAAATCACCAATCACTGGGCGTGTCAATCAATTTAAAGAAATATTTTATTAACATACATTAATAATCATGAAAAATATTTTGAATTGAACTCGAGTGGACTCGGGAACAAGTCAGAGTCCTAAAAAAAAAAAAATGTTCGAGTACGAGTCAATTCCGAGTCCAAATGCACACGAGTCCATGACAAGACCAAGACCATTAAAATATGGTCTCGAGACCGAGATGAGTCCGAGTCTCGAGTACTACAACACTGAGGCCTACATTTATTTAATGTAACAGAATGTATGTTACATAAATAAATGTTTTAGTAAAAGTCCCCATGATGTTTTTGGGCTTTTAGGATGAATGGTAACTAACCTTACTGTTGTTATCTATAAGCTAATGCTCCAAGACAATTCGCGTTTAAAAGTGTGCCTACATTTCCCACGAAGTGAATGTCATTAGGAAGTTTTACCTCGATTATTTCACACAAAGAATAAACACCAAACGAAAACAAAGGCTATATATACGATAGTAAAGTTAGTCCGAATAAATTTGATGTAAACAAACACCTGGGGAAATCAAAGCGGACGCTGGTTAGTGCAGTATGAGGCGCGCGCCCTGACAGGGGCGGGAGCGGGAGCGCGCAGGCTCGTCTGACAGCGAACAGCAGGTTTTTAATGGCATTCGCAGCCTGGACTCACACGCACGTAGGAATGCAGCGTGCCGGTCGGGTTGTCTATAAGCAGGGGTTGTCAAATCCTTATTGGAGATGTAGTTTTCGCCATGTGTTGCTGCAACAGATGATCTCGAAGTAAAATTATTTGTGATACATCGGACTTGACTGAAACATGCATCTCTTTCGGAGTTGTAATTACCGAATCTTTCCCGATCGCTGTTCCAATGAAAAAACACCCCAGATCCGAGGAATCAGCTGGGTAAGTGGGCATATAATACATAATAATAAACATGTAGAATTGTTATTCAAGAGAGAGGGAAAGGTTATGACAACTTCTAGGCTATTATCTGGTTATTCAACGAAATATGAAAAGGTTTGAAAAGATTTGAAACATACTTTCAAATCATTTTAAATGTTAATAAATTATAGTATGTGAATATGTTGCTTTAAAAACCTTTCAATTTTGATTTAAAGTGCCAAATGTTATCGCCATGGAGAAAGAATATTTTGTTTACTTATTTTTTTTTAAGTTTTTAATAGGCTACATTGGAAAATATTAGGTGTCTGCTTTTCTTCGTTTACACATATCCACAAAAGGCACCCCTTTCTTGAAATACCTCAAACAATGTTTTCTAGTTTTGAACGTTATAGTGCATTTTTTTAGAGCACCATATTTACTGTAAGCTAATAAAGTGCATTAGCTTGTGTGTTATGATGTGTTAAGTGTGTCAATGCCAAATGATGTAAATCCAGAGACAATTTGAACATGAACCCAAACAGCCGGAGCTTTGGATTTTTGTTGTAGCCTAAATGTTTTTCTGTTTACATGTTGTTAAAGGGTTAATCAAGGATGAGTTATTTATAGCGTATTGTTCATTGTCCATCTTAAGGTTTGTTCCCTTATGGTTTGGAAAAGAATGTGCACAGGAAGACCCACACCGCTGTAGACCTTAGTGAACAATATAGTGAACTTTAGTGAACTACAGAGTAAATATCATAAAATGAGCATGTTTTCCCAAAATGAAGGATGTAAATTCAAAAAGACACTGATCTCTTTTAGATTACATTCATTTCTTAGTTTTGATAATTTGACTTTCGTGACAATATCAAAAAGAAAATACTCAAAACACGAGATCAGGAAACATAGGGCACTGTGTAAACCTTACGGGTGATTTCCCATTCCCATATCACATTAACACCATTAACTTGAACATACACTTTCATACTTATTCAAATACATGTCAAACAGATGATCCAATCAGGAAACTGTTTCTGCTCTGATGATTGTTAGTCGTGGAGCAGTGGTCTTGTATGTCGAGACCCAAATGTCCCTGTCCTATACATTCCTGCAATAAGGGTCCTGACTCGGAATGAAATACCTCACATTGCACAAGGACACCCTGAGAAAGAGATAAAGAGGCTCATTTAAAGAGAATGTGTTATGTCAATGTGCCACGGTCTGCACCCCATCAGGGTTGAAGTGTTTTTTTTTTCCTATAACTGATTTTTTTTTAGTATATTTCAATTGAAAACCACTGAACCTCAGCCTGAAATATCAGTCTAAGACCATCCTGCACTGATCATACCATAATATATTTGTGTCGACCTTATAAGTAGGATTCTAATAAGAGTTAAGATAAATGGCAAGTTGTATTTAATTTAAATGATAATATCTATCTATCTATCTATCTATCTATCTATCTATCTATCTATCTATCTATCTATCTATCTATCTATCTATCTATCTATCTATCTATCTATCTATCTATCTATCTATCTATCTATCTATCTATCTATCTAAGAAATGAAGGGACCTGTCAATAGCATTTGACGATCAGGTGATCTCAGACATTTTCCCAGCACCGTCATTAGACTTAGAGTCAATATCTTTGTGTAATTTCCCTCTCGTACCGGAGCATGTGATCCAGTCGGCTGCAGTTTCACTCTACACAGTTTACTCAGTCAACAGAGCCACAGGGTGGAGAGATCTCCACGCTGGCTAACCTTATACAAAGGTAAATCAAGCATGAGGATGCAGTGAACCTGACCACCTGAGGATCATCCAACCATTTTTACTGTCTACTGCTGCGGTTGAAAGGGAAACCAAGCAGGGAAAATGCTGGGGGGGAAAACCAGATCAGCTTATCCCTATAAGATCTTATTGAGAAATGATACATCAGCCTTAAATGTTGGTGCTGTTGACTCAAAGCTGATAGGTTTTATGTAGGCGTCTGCTGTATTAACTGCCTGTGTGGTGTGGTGTGGTGTGGTGTAGTGCTTCCAAGAATAGTAAAAAATCATTTACTCACCTGCATGACGTTCCAAACCCATGGCTGACTTTCCTCTGTGGAACACCAAAGGTGATGTTTAGCTCAAACTGGTCTCGTTTAGTGGAATCCTATTGGTTTTGAATGACATCAGCGTGACTAAATCATGATAGAACTAGAACAAGAAAGGAGAAAGCCTTAAGTATTATCATAATAACCATGAGCCATTGTAATTGAGAGAGAAAAAAAAGATTAGTTTTCACAAAAACTATAAAGATATATTATTAGGGCAAGCCCCAAAATAGATGGATATGCTTCACAGAATTAGTCAGCAGATGCTGAGTAACACCTGCCATGGAACAGAGGCTGACAATGCCTCATAAAAACTGAACTCTCTGCCATATGAGCAGAAGAGAATCAGGTGGAATTTGGTCAGTTTAAGACTGTGGAGATTTTCTCTTTATCTGAAGTCTAGCAGCATCTCAACTGGTAGGTCAAGTCGGTTCACCTGACATCATGGTAACGCCCCCTGTAGCTATTTTCTAGTCGCACAAGTACAGCTCGCGTCTGTTTGAATAAGACTGAAATCTCCAAGCTTGCATTTCAGTAACATTTCAAATCAGAGTATCGTAAATTCTCCCTCAAACCAGCCTAAAAGGGCTCAGTTTCATTAGTGATTTTTTTAAAAATGTAATTGCGTTGCTCATTAATGGTATATGATTTGGTTCTTTCCAAATGTGTCAAGGTTTTAGGCTGAGAGTTAAATTGCATACAGAGATTTTTTTCCATACAATACTAAACTTATGCAATTGTGAGGTTTTGACAGTTAAAGAGCTGAGAATACTACACTGGTTGATAGCTGATAGCAAAATAAAATGGTTTGGTTGGAATTTTTAATAAACTTGCATGCTTTAGAGGCGAGCATGAGGTGTTTATGGCATTGTGAATGACATGCCAATTCTGTGGTACACAGAATCCATGTGGTCCTGGTTATCCATCTGTACAATGAAATATGATATGATGCATTGTCCAGAGATAACCCTATAGGTCAGATCATTTCAGAATCAATCGCTGAAATGCATTTGGGCATCTAAATCACTAGTGGTTAACAGCTTAACATTAAATATTTAAACTCACTTCATCCATAATTCTCTCTTCAGGATTGATGCTCTATTTTCAACATGTAAAAGAGAGAGATGCTCTTGGCTCTTGATTGCAGACAGAGATCAGAACTGATGGCGATTGTTGTTAGTTAATAGCTGGACTGAGAACCAAAAACTTGATTGCCTCTTGAGCAGGAATCCCATCAGATATGCATGATTACAACCTGTTCATTCTCAAGTATGTGGTTCAGTTCAGATGGATGAAATCACTCGAATGCACCGTCCTCTTTTTAAAGGGTCATTTCAGTGACTTGCGTTTTCAATGACATAATGAGCATTAAAGGAACAGTTCTTGCAGAAATGAAAATCGTCATTATTAGTCTTATATAGTAGCATTGGCATTGTCATTTGTCTGACATGCCAAAAGTAATACAATATTGCACAGACATTACACAGATCTGATGAATACACACTGATATTATATATATATATATATATATATATATATATATATATATATGCACACATTTTGACATTTAGTAATTAATATATATATATATATATATATATATATATATATATATATAATAGGCTATTATTTTTATATTACTACCAAATATTGTATTATAAAATATATTTTTTTAATTGTTAAATGTTTAAAATTTCCATAAAATATATATATATATATATATATATATATATATATATATATATGAAGAGTTCAGATGCAAAAGCCTCTAAATGCCATTTGAAATTTTCTTCTTTAATGATGATTTTTATCAAACTTGTATATTTAAGTTCAGTAATTTCACTTAAATAACAATTAATAGGTAATTATCATTGCAATTTAAGTGAAATCACTGAACTTAAAAATACAAGTTTGATAAAAATGATCATTAAAGAAGAAAATTTCAAATGGCATTTAGAGGCTTTTGCATCTGAACTCTTCATATATATATATATATATATATATATAGGCTATTGTTTTTATATTACTACCAAACATTGTATTATAAAATATATTTTTTTAATTGTTAAATGTTTAAAATTTCCACAAAATGCAGATTAGCAGTATTTAATTAGTCTTCTGTTGTGTACAACAATGCCCTTATCTACCCCATTGTTTAATGTTTTGCATTTTGCACAGCACTCAGTCAAGCAAGTTGTATTGTAAAGACAAAGGCTAAACTTCTGTCCTTCCTCCACCTCGCAAACTTATAGAGCCAAACATTCCTCTTGAATTCCTATGTGAACCTTAATTACGTTGTTGCTGTTAATTAGTCTTGCTGAGAGGGAGGCAGGTGGCAAAGATCTTGTGCAGGGCTAGTGTCAAATACCACACATGATGGCATTAGTATGGCATGTCTTCTGACATTCTTTAGCCTTCTGTGCCTTTGTGTTGCCGTGTCTTAATATTTGTGACGCTGTACATGATGGACAAAATGGCATTTTGCCAGTGACGGATTGATCTTATAACCTCTATAATACTTTGAAACTAGATTTTCGTTAACACTAATTCTCTCTCTGTTTTCCTCCTCACAGACACCTCTGCCAGACGCTGTGGATACACAAGACACCATCAAACAGGTATGACGGTCTTTGAACAGTGGCTTGGGTTTAGTATATTTTAACAAGCCTTAAAGGGAGAGCTCACCAGCCAAAAATGTTTACACGACACTATTTTCAACTTGTACAAACTACAAACCAAAAACTTAATATCGCCATTCATTTACACAACGTCTCAAAGTGCAAGTTTTTTGAAAATTATATCTTTATTGTTTCAGTGTAAACTGCAAAAACTGTGACTTTGCATGCGTATTATGCGTTCGGTCTATAGGCGCGTAATGTTTCTTTTCAAATTGACTTTGATAACTATACTGGCCTGACAGCATAATACAGCGTTTAGTTTTCGCGGATCTGTGTGAACGGAGATCGATTCAACAACGTTGTCGTCTGTACTAATCTTTCCATTTTTAGTACATTGCTGTCATGTCAATGTACAGTACCCTAAGGGCCTTATTTTAACGACAAGTATCAAACGCGAAACGCAAGTAACTTTGTGGGCGGATCTTAAGATCGAAACATATTTACAGGAAATCGCAATGGAAGACGATTTCGATAGATCTGAATATGTTTAGTGAAAGGTAAAACTTCCGAAATATTTCAAAAGCACCACACAAGTATCGTAAAAGCAGCCCATATGACTCATTCACTATAATCCAAGTCTTCTGAAGCCAAACGATAGCTTTATGAGGAACATTGAAGTTGCATTAGTCATATGGATCATTTTTTAAATACTTTTAGACTTACATAGAGCTAAATGGTAATGGAATTTTTAGGTGATCTTCCTCTTTAAATAAGCTCTACTATGTTCCAGCGTGTTCATAGAGGGATGTGTGGCATTGCATACTCTATCTCTTTAACAGAAAGCATGCTTTTATCTACACACCTCTGACCTCTGTGTGTTCATAATATCATGCTCGCAGAGATTGTAGAGGGTGGCGCTCTGTACAATTTTCTTGAGGATATAAAAGGGCTGATGAAACTCTAAATAAGGTTTAAAACACAACATGCTAAATCTTGTGGAGACATTTTCCTGCCCTACACACCCATATGTCACAGAATTCCTCCAGAATGTGTGAGGCCACAATAAATAGATCAAATAGATTAATTTTAAACACATTTTGTTGCTGTTTTTGACAAACCACCACAATTACTCCTATGAGTGATCAAAACACAGGTCTGTCATTTCATTTCAAGTGCCATTTCAAGTGGATTTGCAATATTTTGTGCAATTAAAATGCATATGTAATGTTTTCAAACTCAATTTAAAACTAAAGTAGTATGATTACATATTTTACTGATCCTTCACAGCTATTTCACTACCCCAGACGATTCTAGAAATGCAGTGTCATTTTTTCTCTGCTATGATACATGTCCCTTCAGTATCATCATGTGAGGCCCTGAGGGAAGAAGCCACTGTAAATATGTTGTTCTACTGGTTCTGCCTATCTCGAATACAGTACATCTTCAAAATCTTGATAAACTAGGTCAGTAGCTCTGGATCAACTTCATGCGAGTATCAACTTCGTCCTGTTTTTCATAGGAGATATATAAAACCAATTGAAACGGTTGTTGAGAGGCTTATCTATCGTTCCTTAAAGTCTGGAAAGCTATTGTTTTTATCCAGCTTATCTTATGAGCAGCTGCCTAACCCATTTTAAACCTCAAATGAGTCATCATAAACACTTATTTTCTTTGCACACACCTTTCTGTTCTTCACTTGTTGTGTGATTCTGTATTGAAAACAAAAGGGGAAAAATTTATAAACCTGAGCTTGCCGTTTTCGTTTCATCTGGGCTTGGATATTTGGGTATTGGTTGTGTCCAATGGGAGAAAAGGCAATATTGCCAAGGATTTGAATGTGGTTTATCAGGGCTCTGGAGGACGTTTCATCTGTGGAATGCTCTCAGGTCCTGGAGTGTTTTTTTTTTTTTTGTGGGCACAAGCGATTCCTGGAGTGTGTTTCTCTGAACAGACAGAGAACAAGGAAAGCTGTATTCATCTGAGCCCTCTGATCTTTTCTGTTATTAGTTGGGCTTTTTAAGGCAAGCATCACTATTATTATCGTTCTAACTTAGGGAAATAAGTAGGCTTTTCTAAATGAGGGTTTATTGTAGATTTACATTAAATAAGGAGGAACCTGAGACATTTCTGAAGACCAGGGGTGCGTTTCCCGAAAGCATCGTTAGCCAACTATGGTCTCAAGTTCCGTCGTTATCAGCATAGTTCAACGAGTCGGTGTTTCCCGAAACCATCGTTTCAACGAACATTCGCAAACAGCATCGCAAAGTTGTGTGGTTTGAACAACAGCTCTCGAGGCATCGTTTCTATATTGCATGAGATTTGGAGGTAATAAATCCTTATCTTGAGCAAAATAAGCAAGCTGACATTCAGTACAACCGGTGCCTTTTATTTAGAATAAATACAAATGGAATTTACGTCTTTTAGTTTGTCAAAAGATTTAAAGTAACGTGTTTGAAGAGTGCGCATGTGCGAACGTGCTCGACTATGTAAGAACGAGCCAAATATTGAGTCTGGTAATAAAGCAAAATAACTGAGAACATTTAGAAATAGTCCTCACCCAGATAGCAAACTGACATTGAATCGACGTAGAAACGACGTTTCTCATGACATCGAAACAACGTTGATCTGACATTGTTTTGCTCAGCGAATTAACGTTGAACCAACGTCAGACGCGCCATTATTCAAAACTAACAGAAAATTACAGTTATTTGCTTTCCTAACGTTGAAACGAAGTTGATTTTCCGTTAGTTTTGACTAAACTGACGTCTGACGTTGGTTCAACGTTAATTCGATGAGCAAAACAATGTCAGATCAACGTTGTTTCAATGTCTTATTTCCACGTTGATTCAATGTCAGTTTGCTGCAGATTACATGTTTGTAATTTAAATTAAAACATCTAGCGTTAATTGGATCTCAAACAGTTTCATTAAAAGCAGTTATTATTCCACCATGTGCGAAACCAACGTGGTTGAACGATACTTTGCGACCGGTTTCGGGAAACAGTCGTGACTAGCTAGTTGATTTCACCAACGATGCATCGTACTATGGTAGCGAAGCAGCGAACTACGTCGTTGTATGGAAACCCCTGAATGTAAGAGATTTGAGGGTGGGTTTCTTTTGACTTGGGCCTGTAAGCAGAACATCTTAGCAATCAAATAACAATGTGTGTGTCTTAATAAGCTATATATTTTACTAGGTGGTGAATCAGTAGTGTTCACGAATTCGGGCACTGGTAAGGACCCTGGCTCACCACTATTTGGGTCACTGATGGCTCTATTTCCAATGGCATGGCAATGTCCTCATTGTACAACATAACTATTGGTATTTATGAACAACATCAGAACTGGTATCTTTTTTTTTTAATATGTTATCCAAAGTATATTATGATAAATACTCGTTTCATATACATTCAACATTTCAGCTGTAAATAAATTATAAATCTTAGCTAGGTTATGTTCATAATCATTAACGGATGCTGATCCGAAAACTGACTCAAAAACCGTATCATGATTAGAACCGTGGGTTTTGTGATCCGGTGAACCACTACTTTTTGGCTTACTTTATTTACGTTATTTTTTATTTTATGACACAATAACTTTAATCAACTTAAAATAAATAAAACATTTGAAATTATTCTTTGGCAACTAAATTAAATCAGTTTTTCATCAAATTCTTTTGATTTTATTTGAATTAACAAATTGAAATGTTTTTTTTTTTCTAGTTTTAGTTAATTCTAACATTCCTGATATGTTCATAACCATAATGCATCCTGAGTGGCCTCAGTGTTTCTAATGTGATTCCTGCCCACCTCTATTGTGAGTGCAGTGTGTGTTGTACGGAATGGCTCACCAAGGTCACGCCATCACGACTGCCTCCGGTGTTAACGTCGCCCACTGATGGAAAACACAGCCTGTTTCCTCCCCACATAACAGAGGTGGATGGGTCTGCGCTGCTGCTACTGTAAAAACCCAAATGCATGTGGGTGACTAACACTTGTATACAAAGGAAGCTCCAACAAAACTTAATAGATGAGGTATTGTGTTAGAGGTTTGCAAAGCTCAGTAGGGTGAGGCTCTGTTGTGTTGTTGGGCAGCTATTCATATTCATACAAACAGGGCTGAACAATACATGTTTTTTTCAGCAGTTCAGGTGGTGTAATGTACAGTTGTTGTGGTGAACAGTACTTTTTGTCAAATTATCTGAACTAGAACTACTTGAGCCCTGGTTTGAGGACATTTCAGTTGGAAAGTTCACACTATGTTTAGAAACCTCTGTGGTGAAACATTAGCACACATCTATGTTGCACAGTAAGGACTATCATGTTGCCTTTCTACATTGTTTTTGGTGACTGTTTGTATAGCAGTCTAAATATGCCACCCTCTCCCTCTGGACAAACCCTCACGTGGAGATGTCACATTAGCAGTGTTCAGTGTTGTTTGGTTGGAGCTTTCCTGGGATCCTTAGGCACACCTGAGAGAATCAGAAACTATATATACTGTATATACACTATAAAAACCTGAAGGTTTTTGGATACATCTATTATTTCACCTCGCAAAATATTTGGCTTACAAAATGTGTTTCTGCTATATTTACTGTACACACATATACATATACTGTACACATACATGTATATATTACAGTATATATATATATATATATATATATGTGTGTGTGTGTGTGTGTGTAAATACTGTATAGAAGAAACACATTTTGTAAGCCAAATATTTTGCAAGGTGAAATAATAGATATATCCAAAAACCTTCAGGTTGTCAAACATCTGTGGAACATGTCCAAAGTTAATGTGTTGAACATATATACTACCTTTCAAGGGCCAGTAATAAAAAAAAAATACTCCTTTTAGCAAGAATACTTAAAATTGATCAAATCGGACAGCAAAGATTTTTATATCATTACATTTTTTTTTAAATGCTGACTTTCTAGTCATCAAATAATCTAGAATCGTGATTTCCACACAAATATTAAGCAGTACAGCTGTTTTCAACATTGATAATAATAAGAAATTTTTCTTGAGCACCAAATCAGCATACTAGAATGATTTCTGAAGGATCATGTGACACTGAAGCCTGAGCAAATATGCTTTTTTATGTTTCATGAATAAATTACATTTAAATACATTACATTAATATTTTAATATTAATAGTTTGTGATTAAATAAATATAGTCTTGGTGAGCATGAGAGGCTTCTACAGACCCCAAACTTTATAGTATCCACTAAAGTGACCTAAGAAATTGAAGTTGAAATAGGAGATTGACTCAAGTGTAGCTCTTTGTTGTCACAGGTGTCCTATGATACGTGTATTCCCAGGTGTTCAGCAGTCAGAGTCAGTGCTTCACAGTGAAGTAATTATTCCCAAGGAGACTGCAGAATGCTGGGAATAGGCTGCCAGTTCCCATCTATACCCTGATCTCCAGGGACAGAATCATGAAGGAGGAGATGACAGGGGAGAGATTTACATGCTCAGGGTCTGCAGACACAGTGTCTGGGCACACGCTGTGTAAAGTCAGCTAGATGGAGAGTTCTGCTCTGTCTGTGTAAGCCTCGGAGGATACAGGCTAGATGGAGGTTGACCACATACTAATTAACTTAAATACTAATCACCAAATGAGTTACATTAACAGGCATCAAGAGAATTATAACTCTGAAATCGCCCCTGGATAATGTGGAGTGGAGAATAAGCACTGTTCCTGTGGAGCGTTTAGTGAAGTGGACTTGTGAGAACAGCAGCACTGTATATTTTGCCTCTTTTTGGACTGAAAAGACGGGTCAGCCGATCCCTCACGGGTCAGAAGCCAATTACATCACCGTGACTGAGCGACTGGGCCAGGGGCCTTCAAGAAGAGGCACACGTCACCGCCCTCAGCAACAACCACAACAAATAAAGTGTGAGAAATGAAGGCGATTCAAGTTTAAGACCTCATCCTGGGGACAAACTGTTCTGCAGAGGATACAGAACAAACAAATAATGGTTCAAACTTTCCGGAAAATCACATGAAGAATGATAAGGTGGAGCAGAAGCGTGTGTCCCAAATCACATACAAGATTGCAATAAGCGTTTTTAGGATATTGCTTGTATATTTCCTGAAGATTTTTAATGTGCTCATGCTTTTTTGGGCTAATATTGCCTACAATGAGTTTGTGACTTTCTCTTTTGACTTTTGCTGAAAATTCATTGCTGAATAAATTACATTTAAAAATATTAAAAAAGAAAATATTTATTTTTAAAATGTGGAAATATTGAACACCACTGTTTTTTTTTCTGCATTTATGATCAAATAAATGCATAAAAAGATTTTAAATAAACATACTGACCCCAATCTTCTGACTAGTAGTGTATGTACTTTTAATTTTGGACCAATAAGCAACCACATGGCAATGCCCTAGCAACCGCTCACAGCCACACATCACCCTTACATCATGACAGCCAGTTTTGTGGCCATCACAACTCTCATTTTCTTCAGTAAATGCACAGACAGTTATCAGATTTACTTTGGATGCAGTGCTGTTTTCGGCCTCATGCAACAGCTTGAGGCGTTTGGCTTTGAACTTGCAGCTTTTGATGTTCTGAAGCATAAATGTAAAAATTAGGTGTATTTTGGTGTGTGATCTCTACTAAAACCACTTCAATCACTTACATAGTGAAAAGACCAGGATATGTTTTGGATGCCGGTGTCTTTAAAATATTCTTAACTAGCTAAACTAGCAAGCTTTGTTTGCACCAGCACTAAAACCAGTTTGGAACTTGATGCATTTTTAGCATGAAAATCTTCCAATATTTAGCTTAATGCAATGCATACCATCCCTACTAGTTTGTCTTTGTGTTTGTCTCCACTTCGACAGTTTTTACATTGTCAATACGCCAAACCAGTCTTATCATTTTGCGTCTTGGCAGGCATGCAGAAAAAAAGGCTGCATAGCAACAACGGTGGCATGCTTGAGTAGTTCAATAAACCGTAGCCTCAATCAATGAGGTCGAGTTTTTACACTCCAGATTTCTCAGTCTGTTTGGGAGTTGGAGCGGGACGCGCCATCTGCGGGGGGTCCAACAGAGCTAAGGGTTGGAAGGGAGGAGACGAGGAATGAAAACAGAAGTCCTGACAGGGAGGGATGGATGAAAACAGAGCAAGTTATTAGAAGGAAAACAGACGAGCGGTAAAACAGCTTTCACACGGGGGAGGAGTGTGAACGGTAGCGATCTTTGGTTTGGTAAATTCAACTCGGAGGAGGAGGAGGTGTTGGAAAAAATGTGACACATTCTCACCCGCCACTCACCTGTTGTGTTTCTATACAACTCGAAGAATCATAAAGGAATTTTTCTGTATGAACGCAAACAAGAGTAAACTTTCCCAGTCTTCCTATGGAAACGAGCAAACTTTCATCCAATTCAAAGACAACATGAAACCACAATTACACTGCATTTAATTCTTCCCCTGCTATTGGCGAAAATATCCGTAATTTGTGAGAAAACGCTTCCCCACCATTGACGGAATTGTCCAGGCTTCCTTGTTTTCACTGTTATATGTTAAGGAGCGCTAGTACGCAACTTCTGAAATAGCAATGAATCTCCTGATCAAAACACAGGAAAACAAGAAGCAGAAACAGGCAATATCACATGTAAGGAGATGCATATGTAAAATAACGCGATTATCAACATTAGACCGGAAAATCAAAACTGCCATAATGTTAAGAATGAAATGCGAGCTTTATGGGACTTTGCAAGCATTAGTGGTGTTGATGGACTCGATCTACTCCAGCTATGTTTTGATCATCGTTCTGAATCTGATCCAGATGTAGTTTTTTGATAAAATTAAAATAAAAATTTTGCTTCTTTATGTTGCTTTTTTAAAATTTTTATTTCAAGTGTTAAAACAATGTATGGAAAAATAGGTTTTGTTTAAAAGCAGAGGGTCTGTTCTTTCGTTTCATATATTGAATGTTCAGGTATTCATACAGCAATGTATTCTGGGGGACATGAAGTTAAAACCTCTGGTGGGGAAAGAGTTAACTTGCATAATGTGGCATACTTTTGAAAATTCTGCTGGAAATATTTATTGCAGGTTTTTGGGTTTAGTTTTTGATGGGACTTTTTAGTTGACTGGGTTGATGTTGTTTAATAGGATCAAACAAAATAATTATCATTCTCAAGTCATTAAGAAGGTCATTAAGAAGGTAAATGGTGTCCATTTTCATTTCACGTCTTTAAATATTATTCAAAGACATTCAAAACTTATTTGACATTTAAATAGTATAAAAAGACATGTAAAACATTAAAAAAAAGTAAAGATATGGCTTAGTGTCACCAAACAAAATTACATAATGACAGTAAAAATGTTTCTTACCTTTTTTCTTGTCAGTTTTTGTCCGAACGAATCCTGAAGGCAGCACGGGTGGTGTACATCACTCTGTTGGAGCGTAATCCAGGCTTGATAAGAGACAGAAAACACCATCTTAAGACCTACAGGTGAAGCTTCCACTCCGTATTTCATGTGCTTGTGCCAAACTTGTTACATTTCTGATCTAAGATTATATTTCATCTAAGCATCCCCACTCAGCATCAAATAAATCAACTGATTCTGTATCAATCAACCACAAAGACACGCGTGTAAACACTTTAAAGTCACCACTCAGCTTTTTGACAGCTTAATGGTTCTCCGGTTTGTCCCACAGACAGTGCAGCAGTGGGAAGGAACTTGTGGATTGGCTAATGAAACTCAATGATTGTTTCCAGTCACGGAGTCAGGCAGTCGGGATGTGGCAGGTTTTGGTGGATGAGGGCATTCTGGTTCATGGTGAGTGAGTATTAACAATTTCTTTAGATGTCTACATGTTTTTGTGCAAAAAAAGATGAAAAAAAAAATGGTACCATAGTGATTCCATCATTCATGTAAGTTGTATTTACCACAATGCAGCATGTCATGGTAGTACCATGATGTCTGAATATATTGACTAACTGACAACCAATGTCTCTGTCAAAATGAACAGTGAAACAGGAGTTAAACTTCCACGACAAAGACACACAGTTTTACCGCTTTGTGGAGGCCGACTTTGACCTTAACAACACAACTATTGAGAAAGACTCCAAAGACGATGAACTCCAAGAGAGTTTATCGTTACTAGTCCAAATGGGTCCAGATGCTCTTCTGACTATGATACTGCGTAAATGGTAAGACATGAGAAATTACACTAGAAAAGAACATAAACTTATTTAAAATTGTTTAGTTTAATAAAAATTGAAATACCCAATATGGATTCAAGGTTACACTTTCTTTGATGGTCCACTTTAGACACTCTATTAACTCTACTTACTTATAGTTAGTAAAATGTCTGTTGGGGAACCATCAAATATAGTGTTATTTGACATGTTATATACAGTTATTTGACATGTAGTTGCAAAGTTACCTAGTTATAGTTAGTAGAATGTCTAAAGTGGACCATTAAAATAAAGTGTTATATAAAGTGTCCATTAGCTTAGCAACATGCTAATATCAGACTCCAAACTAATTCAGTTTTCCATGGCAAATTCTGTGACAGTTATAGTTGTTTCTACATATTACGCTGGGATAGGAGAATTCTAGTAGACACACTTCACGTTTAATCTCTATTATAAACAGCATAAGATTTCTGTGTGTAATAATTTGTGTGTCCACGTCTTAGCCCGAACCAGAGAACTCCTGATGACCTGGAAGTTATTTACGAAGAACTTCTGCACATCAAAGCTGTGGCCCACTTATCTACATCTGTGAGTCAACACTCGCTGACACCCGTCAAGTTTGTTTGCGGCAAAACTCTTCATTCATCCCTCGTTTCTTTTATCCTTCACTCTTTCCCGTAGGTTCGGAAGGAGCTGGCAGCAGTGCTGGTTTTTGAAAGCCATGCCAAGGCAGGAACAGTCTGTGAGTGTGAAAGCAATGATGACATTTCATTAATGGTGGGCGGGATGAAGGAACGTTGCTAATATTGAATTAGAGCATAGCCAGAGTAAAAATGAGCAGCAAACCTTCTGGTTAGGCACTAATAGCAATGAGATGAATGAGATGATTAAATCATTTTATTGTGTAATTCCCTTGTTACACGATGAATTGGATGATTGACATCGTAATATCAAGACAAAGGAAAAACGGAAAGCACTTACTTTTCTGGCGTGTCATTCATGCACAGTGAATAGCACGAATAGACTCTGATGAATATCTACTTGGAGTGTTTATTCTGACTTTTTAAAATCTGTCAAGATTCATAAACTCATATTATTGTAGATTAGACTCATTTTTTATTTTTGAAAGCACATTAATGCTGCATGTTTTATCCTGATATTAAGATTAAAAGACTTTTTAATTGATCCAGTGGACTCAGACATATATTGATATATGAAATTTTAAATTGTTAGTAATAATTGGGTTTATGAAACATAAAACTTTCTTCTATAATGGAACATACTGCTGAGTGAAACAGGATATTCAACAAGATAAATAAAATTAAGGACGAGTCTTGATTTTATCCACTGGAATTTCCAACTTCGATACGATACCTTGAAAAATATAGATTTTTCGATACCACGGGGAAAAACTGCCATACTAAGATATTTGTTATTATCTCACAGTCTTGACACTTTGGGTAATTTTGTTGCAACACACAGCTTAAACACATAATAGTGAGGATTTATTTGAATCATTGAAATAAATTAACAAAAAATACAAGTAAACAGACAGTAATAAAATAAGAAAAATCAACAAATCGCAAATGATAGCACAAAGAAATACAGTAGAAGCAAGAGACAAATGAAAGTTTTTCAGGTGAGTAACAGAAATTAAAATAATCAAATGTGAAATAACACTGGATAGTCTTCATTATTAAAATTAAATACAGATTATTGCTTACAATTAAAGTTACAAAAGTTATTCAGTCAAGAGGAAAGAGTGACTTTCTCTTCGTCTTTTGTTCTCTGATTAACGGTACAGACAGCAGCAGGATTATTAGGCTGCTGTCACTTTAAGAGCTTACGCACGGATCCAATGTAATGTTACACAGAACATGCGTTTTCACATACTGTATGTATTTGATTGTTTAATAGCATTAGAAGTCAATTTGATATTCGTGAGCTATTTGAGAAGCAGCTGTATGTGAGCGCCACTAATATAGTTAATTTGTGCTTGTGCTTTTGGTGTGAGCACAAAACCTGCGGGAATGATTTAATCGGAGCGAATGAGACAAGTGAAGTTGCGTCAATCCTATGAAATGAACTGAAAACACTCACTCTGCTCCGCAAACTAGTTGCAAGTTTGTGTTTATAATAATGTGTTTTGTGTTTATGTCAGTGTTCAGTCAGGGGGACAAAGGGACTTCCTGGTACATCATCTGGAGAGGCTCTGTTAATGTCATCACACACGGCAAGGTAGAACCATTAAGCTGAGTGACTTTAAGAAGTCATTGAGTTTAAATATAGATACTCACATTGTTTGAAGGTTATTCATACTGTTCCTCTTAAGGAAAGATGATCTTGTGTATGTGTGTCACACAGGGCTTGGTGACCACACTCCATGAGGGAGATGACTTTGGGCAGTTGGCCTTGGTGAACGACGCCCCTCGTTCTGCCACCATCATCCTAAGAGAGGACAACTGCCACTTCCTGCGGGTGGACAAGCAGGACTTTATACGTATCCTCAAGGTAGGTTTCGTGTGCATAGCCTAGCATCTGCGTGTGCGGATGTGTATCTATGGTGATCTATAACCTGAATGTAACTGCAGGATGTCGAGGCCAACACCGTCCGCCTGGAGGAACATGGTAAAGCGGTTCTGGTCCTTGAGAAGAGCTCGGCGCAGGAGTCCACCTATCAGGGAGGATCAGCAAGCAGCAACAAGTAAATGATTCTGTCAAATAATGTACTAAATTGCACATCTCAATGAATGTAATTTCTGCACCACAATTTTGTTTTATGTTCAAATTTTATGTAAATACTATATGAGCATAAACATTATACACTTTTAATTCTTATTATTACAGCATAGACTACCATTCAAAATTTTGGTCTCGGTATAATTTTTAAAAATGTTTTTCAACTTTAAGAAGTCTCTTATGCTCCCCAAGGCTGCATTTATTTGATCAAAATACAGTCAAAAATAATATGTGAAGTATTCAAATGTAGTTTATGCCTGTGATGGCAAAGCTGTCACATGATCCTTCAGAAATCATTCTAATATGCTGATTTGCTGTTTAAGAAATATGCTGTTCAAGTGCTGATTAATATTTTTGTTTCAGGATTTTGTGATTAATAAAGTCCAAAAGAACAGCATTTATTAAAAAAACATATCTTTTATAACATTATACATGCATTTACTGTCACTTTTGATCATTTTAATGCATCCTTGCTGAATAAAAGTAGTCTTTTTTTATCTTACTGACCCCAAACTTTTTAAAAATGGTTCATAAAACTGTGTGTTCATATTTTAGCCCAAGCCAGAGGCCCTTTCAACATCAAAACTTAACAGATTTTAGCTCGCACAGATGATTTAATAAAAAAAACAATTACTTACTAATTTGAACTGCATTTATTTAATGTATGATAATAACTACTCACAGCATTAAGCCCATGTTAGCAAGCATGTGAGAAAATTAAATCAGCCAATTCAAACGCATCTTCACAAACCATTTATATAAAATCAGCAAGTGAAACGAGCCCTGAATAATAAATATCCAGATTAGGAGTTCACATTTACAAACGTCTGCAGTGAAAGTGCAACCACAGGTGATTCATGTAAATACTTCACCTATAGAAGTGCTTATTGTACAATGAAATGCAGGCTAAATCATTAGTCATCACTATTATTTGATTTCAAGTGCATTAAACCAATGAATGATGGAAATGGAGGACGCCTAATTATCGATTTGAATGATCCACCTCTCGCAGGTACACAGTAATGTCGGGAACGCCAGAGAAGATCCTAGAACACATGCTGGAGACGATTAAACTGGAAACCAGTGATTTTATAGGTATGGAAGACCCATGGTTTGTAACTTGTGTAACATATAAGCTTAATAAAACTTAATGAAGTTTACGAGTCTGTTTTGTGCTTCTACAGATCCCAGTGTAAGTGACTTCCTCCTAACGCATCCAGTCTTCATGCCCTACAGTCAGCTCTGTGCAGCCCTCCAGCATCAATATCCTTCTTCTACTACAGGAAACACTGACAATCTGCTTCTTTTTGATATTTCTGTTTTGTTAATGTTATATTTATTATGTTTTGGTCAAATTCTACTCCTTAACCTGCATTTGCACCTACCAAGCGGAGCCATCAGAAGGCTCAGACCTGGAGAAGGCAGCGTATGCTCTCAACACCAAGCAAAAGGTTGTGAAACTGGTGGGTCATTGGGTGGCTCTGTTTGGTTCCTTACTGAGGGACAATCCTGTGGCCTTTGAATTCTTAGAGGTAAAAATGCTGTAGTACCATTTTTCATGTATTTTACGTTTCACAAGTTTAGATTTTGATAGCACGGTACTTCATTAAATCAAAACCAATCATTTTATTACTGTCTTAATGAATGTGCCAGGGCTTATTGTGCATTTAAAAAAAACAAAATGGTATATATATAAAACATTCAAGCCTCTGAAATGGCTTTTCTGGTAACATAATGTTGCCTGGAAAAATATTAATCAACAATGTCATAACCTAAAATGTTGATCCTGAATTGAAATAGCTCCATCTTTGTGACTTTATGATAGAAATTCAGGGAAGGGGTGATGGCTGACTCAAGACTTTCCAGCATGCTCAAAGAACAGCTGAGGGACAGAAGGAAGACAAAAATGTAAGTAAAACATTTGCCAATAAACAGTTCTGTCATGAAACTCTAGATGGTGCAGGCTAATTGCAATCGCATCATTCTTTATAGAGAACAACTGATTGGTTCTTGCTGTATCAGTAGTCATAGTGTGTCGAAGTTATGACATCACTTTGTAGGACAACTCGGAAGTTAGGTTCCCTCGATCGGAAAGCTATGCGTTTTCCCCATAGACTTTTGGAAAATCGCAAAAAATAAGATCTGTGTTCAAAACAAAGGCTTGTGACCCTTACATGTGCACGTAAAAACTCATTTTCTTGTATAAATTGCACGATAATACACAATGCGTGCTAGAGACGCATTTACATGAAAACAGGCTGGTCTTCTACTGTATGTCATCAAACCTCTACTTAATCCTACATTTATTGCTACTCCCTATTTTACTCCTTACAGAACCGAGAATGGATGTCAAACTCTGACGAAGGTAAGAGGCACTGGTTTCTTAGTCTAATGTGAAACTTAAGAGACCAACCAATAAATCCTCCTTACTTTATGACACAGCATAATAAACAGACTCTCCAGTGGAAAAGTCAACATCTCTGTGGTCAGAGGTCTTTAGACACATTCAGAGAACTAAACAAAAGTAAATCCCTTTCTGACAGAGCATTGAATTGTACACTAAAAGTAGGTCAGCTGTATCCATGGTCACATAAAACCCAGCCATCCATTATATAGTTTGCACTGTATTTGGGAACAGGTGTTTAAATAACAATTACATATATGTGTAATACATATAGTGCAACACTGTTTCCTGCACCACTTTGCCCTACTTCTTACACTAAAAAAAACAGCATTAAGAAAAATAAAATCGCAAATTACCTTAGTTGTGAATGTGAGTTGCATTGTTATGCAAAGGAACTTAAATTCGTTAAAGTTTAAGAAAAGTTTAAGGAAGCTGAAATTGCAAATTTTAATTTTGTACTCAAACATTTGAAATATTTGAGTAAGCCTAATTCATTCATCATATAATCTCAACTTATTTTTAGTAGAGGAAACTTGGCTATGTTTAACTAGCTAATTCAGTAAATGCTCAAATCCCAGCCCAGTTTCAGTTAACTTTAAGTTTGAAAGAAACAAGTTCATTAAACTCAAAACAATGAAACAATTCAGATTACTTGAAATGTGTCAGTTTTGTGAACTCAAAAGAAAAATCTAAACTCATAAGTGTTCATTTGTTTGAACTAATTCGTTTAATTTAAGTTTACCATACTCAAACCAAGCGTTGCGCGTTAGGGTTTACGGCATGTTTTGTTCCTGAACGAATAAGTATTTTGGATTGATTAAATCCCTTGTTCCATTGCTAAATGAACCATCGTTTTTAAACACATCAGTTTCATCATTAAGACTACTTGCCACCACCCGTGTGATGTGGTATTGTGTTTATATGGTGTGTGCATGTAAAACAATTCAGTAGGAAACACTGTAGAGCAGTAATGTAAAACATTGTAGGAAGGCATCCAAACAAATGGTTTTAAAATGCCACATTGACCATCCTTCACTGATACCTGATCTTGTGTCTGATTCCTCGCATTCTTGGAATAAGACCCGCACTTATTTTCTCAGGCACAGAAAATCCATCATACCTAAGATCATAAATGCTGTCCATGTACTTCAGACACACAGTCTTTCTGTCAACACACGTTGAAAACTGCATTTTGAAGCCCTGCAAGCTCTAAAATCCAATATCATCATCTGTTTGTTTCAGCTAAACCGAAAGTTTGATTGGTTTTCTGCTTACGAAGAGCCAGTGGGAAAATTAAGGTCGATAAAAGCTCAAGATAAAGGTTTGTAAAAGTAAAAACCCATATTATACAAAGAGCACATAAAACAAGGATAATATCCATGTGAAATTGCTCGCATTAATCAAAATGGAATTTCCCTAATGAAATGTGTTCAATTGTCCGTTTGCAGTCTTGTATGAGATCTTTAAACCGGATCATAAGGCTGTCACTGTAATGCTGCCAGTCGATGCTTCAGTGAATGACATCTTGACTACATTAGTGGATCCTGAGAGAAACTATGTGCTGGTCAAGATGAATTCCTCTGGAGGTAAGCTATGAGATGCCGATGATTTGGCTTCAGTTTCCTCTGACCGTGCCAGAACTGCTGCAGAATTTTCATGTGAGCAAAGTTTCTTCTGCTTTGCTTCTTGCAGACAGAGTCCAGCTCAAGCTGGAGACCACGGCAGTGTCTGCCTCTTTAGGAGTGAACGAGAGGCTTTTCCTCTGCTCTGCCAGCCAAGTGGAACAACTGGTGAGAGATGCCAATTGCTGATTCACAGTAAAAGATCCTCGCACTAGTCATACAAGTCAGCTGTAAATATACATAAACTGTGATAAATTGATTGTTCACATTGGTTGAAACTTTGCAAAGACTTTTTTTTAAATATTTAGTTCACCCAAAGCAACTTTTTTTCATGTAATATTTGTTTATGATATGCAATTATAATGAGTGGGGACTAAAACTTTTAAAGTCGTCTTGAAACGCAAGTTGTGATAGTCTTTTATTCCCTATTGTGGCATATATACAAATGAAACTGCTTCTCAAACAAGAAAAAATGTTGGGCGGGACTTGATTTGATCCACCGGGAATTGATCAAATAGTTGGATTTTTGTGGTTTGCTATTGATTGATCTCATGTCATGGTCCCGCTCTCACGCCAGTAAACGCCATCAGACAAGAGATGTTGCTGCAATGGGGAGGGGATATTATTTTGATAAAAGATTATGAGGGCACACAAATAAAAATAAAATAAAAAATTATCTGCACAGATACATTTTTACTTGACTTCAAGCTTCAAAAAAGTATGGAAGCTTGTTTCTGCCACTGAATACAAAATAAATAAATAAATAATTGCGACTTTTTTTCTCACAATTGCGAGATATGAAGTCCGAATTATTATGAGAAATAAAGTTGCAATTGCGTGATATAAAGTCAGAATTGCGAAAGTCGCAATTGCGTGTTATAAAGTCAGAATTGTGAGAAATAAAGTCAGAATTGTGAGAAATAAAGTCACAATTGCGTGATATAAAGTCAGAATTGCAAGATAGTCAGAATTGCGAGATATGAAGTCAGAATTGTGAGAAATAGTCGCAATTGCATGATATAAAGTCAGAATTGCGTGATATAAAGTCTGAAACTCTGAATTGCGAGATATAAAGTCAGAATTGCGTGATATAAAGTCGCAATTGCGTGATATAACGTCAGAATTGCAAAAGATAAGTCAGAATTGCGTGATATAAAGTCGCAATTTGCTTGATATAAAGTCAGAATTGTGTGATATATAGTCTGAAACTCTGAATTGCGAGATATAAAGTCAGAATTGCGAGATATGAAGTTAGAATTGTGAGAAATAGTCGCAATTGCGTGATATAAAGTCAGAATTGCGTAATATAAAGTCGCAATTGCGTGATAAAGTCATAATTGCAAGATATAACGTCAGAATTGTATGATATAGTCGCAATTCTGAGAAAAAAAGACAGAATTGCGACTTTTTATCTCACAATTCTGACTTTTTTTCTCACAATTGCGAGTTTACATCTCGCAATTCTGACTTTATAACACATAATTGGGAGTTTATATGTCGAAATTCTGACATCTTTTCTCAGAATTGTGAGATATAAACTCGCAATTGTGAGTTATCAGGCCAATTCTAAGGGGAAAAGCTTAATAATCATACTAAGTGATGATTTTTGAAAATGTAAAAGTGCAGAAAGTTTTCTGTGATGGGTAGGTTTAGTGTAAGGGGGTAGAATATACACTTTGTACAGTATAAATATCCTTAAGTCTATGGAAAGTCCCCATAAAACATAAAAACACAACATAAATATGAATGTGTTTTACCCGACAGACCCCCGTGAGCGAGCAGCTGGTGCCAGAGAAGAGCACCATGGACACTCTGGAGCAGATGGGCTCCAAGGACATGGCCAGTCAGCACACCAGCTACGACTGGGAACTCTTCATGGCCATGCATGAGGTAACAGCCAAACCAACAAACAAATTCGTCACTGGCACAACAAAATTCATTGCACCTTCATGGCAGTTTAGATAAAGAAGGAACATTGAACAACATGACTACTGGTAAAATCTAATCACTAGCATTGCTAAGCATAGTTAGAGCGTCACATCAGTGTGATGCTTCTATGACATAATGCTGTAAATATTAGTGTGTACTTGGCATCTCACACAGACACAAATTTCACGGTATCTGTTCGAGAATCAAAAATGTCAGAGAGATTGAGTCACTGAAACATTTTACCGCCGAGACGACATCTGAATCACATGCCTGACTTACACCTGCTGGGTAAACAAATATCTGGAAATTTGCAAAAGTGCATATCAGATGAATGCAAGAAGGAAATGAAGTGGACACATGTGACATTTCAATGACTATTTGTTTTACATTCAGAACAATCAAAAACATTCCAAAAAAATAAATAAAAAGCAACTCTTATCTTGTAGAGTTGTACTGATAGTTTATTTAAAGAACAAATCGTTTATGAATGGGAAAAAATGACAATTATTAATCTGTTTTGTAAATATATACTAGCGTTCACAAGATTTTTTTAAGGTTTTTGGAAAAAAGTGTCTAATGCTTATCGAGGCTGCATTTATTTGATCAAAAATACAGTAAAAATAATTGTGTAATATTATTACACTTAATAATTTTTTGATGTTTTTTTTTTTAATTTAATTTATTTCTGTGATGGAAAAGCTGATTTTTCAGCATCATTACTCCAGTCTTCAGTGTCACATGATCCTTCAGAAATAATTTTATATGCTGACCTGGTGCTCAAGAAATATTTCTTTTTATTATGAATATCAATTTTGAAAACCGTTGTGCTGCTTAATATTTTTTGAAAAGAAACCGTGACTTTTTTTTCAGGATTCATTGATAAATAGAAAGAACAGGTATTATTTGAAATATAATTTTATGTAACAATCTAAAATTGCTGTTACTTTTGATCAATTTAATGCAGCCTTGCTGAATAAATATATGAACATAATATATATTGTTATTATATATTTATTTTTAATATATTTACATATTATATTATAACACTAAGCACAATGCAAAGTGGAAAAATTGGTTGGAAAAGTAATAAAAAGTTCATTAAAAAGTTATCAATAAAATTAAAAGTTTAATAATAAATAAACAGTGGTTGCCAAGCAAAGTCTCAACTTGCCACATACAAACATAGAACATTTATATCGACATATAATGTACTCCAAATAATTAAAAAAAAAATCATTAAATTGGACATTTTAATTTAATACGGAATTACGGATTGATGGTAAAGTACTGATTGCTGTACTACAGGTGGAGCTGGTCTACTACGTTTTCGGACGGGAAAAGTTCCCAGGAGCCACTACGGCTAACCTTGAACGGTTTGTCCGTCGCTTTAACGAGGTTCAGTACTGGGTGGTGACTGAGCTGTGTCTCTGTGAGGACCTGCTGAAGAGAGCCATACTACTGAAGAAGTTCATCAAGATGGCGGTTGTGTGAGTACAAAAGCAATTCACAAGACAGTCAGCTGCCATACAGTACAGCACACACACAGGTGGAGGATATTCCACATCTGTCAGTGGTTTAATCATTAATGCTACTACAATAGTCTCTCTTTACGTCATAGTCATACTATTGCATAAGTTCAGCTTCACGACATCAATTTGACTCACTGTATCCATTAATTTACATAATCTTTAAACAAACTTTTTGTGTTCATTTTGTGTTTTGCTGCTCTTCAGCTAAAGCACTTGTAGAGGAGAATGTGCAAATTATACCAATAGGCTATATGTTAGTTATAAATTTATTTATTTTTAATTGTATATAATATATAGCATTTTTACAGAATTTATTTAACAATGATTGGTTGTGTTAAAAAAAGCCTAAAAATTCTGAAAACATTTATTTATTTATTTTTTACAAATAAACTAGTGTTAAAGTCAGCATGAAACTGAAGTTGCAATAGTCTTCTGTGTTGTTATGAATATCTGAGAATATTCTGCTTTTAGAACAAGAAAAAGAAATATAGGGTGGGACTTGATTTTGTCCACTAGGAATTGATTAGATGGTTGTGGTTTGCTATTGCTGTGATATCCACTGCCTCGCGCCAGTAACTGTGTGTGACTTATTCACAAATAACGAGTTTTGTAATATCACACCACCAATAATTTACAGTGAAACTGTACAGTGAGCTCATGGGCATCTGATTTGATCTATTTCAGTTTAAAAGAGCAGAAGAACCTGAACTCATTTTTCGCGGTGATGTTCGGCCTCAGTAACAGTGCAGTACAGAGGCTCAATAAGACATGGGAGGTAAGGACAAGTATCTTATCTTAGTCTAGAAAATAACCTTTTGCTGTTTTATTTCTGTGTAAAATACCAGCATCAAAATATTTTCAGTGATAACTAACACATATTGAAAGACCAATCATTTAAAAGTCTTTGCATTCACAAATGTGACTATACTATATTATCATAACCCTGCTCTTGAATAAGTTATGTCCAACTTTATCCACATACACACAGTGTATATTCTATTACTCCAATGTAGCAAATCTCAACATGACTGTATCGTTGCAAAATGTAAACTATATTATCAGCCAGCTCTAATCTGCTAAATGCGGCTAGAACATAGACATGAAGACATCAAGAGCATTAACATCATCACGGTTGTCTGTAAAGCTGCTTTGAAACAGTGTTAGTGTGAAAAGCTCTATGCAAATCAATGACTTGACTATCTTAATGAACAGAGACTCCCAAACAAAACCAAGAGGGTCTACTGTGCATATGAAAGACTGATGGTAAGAGCAAATGTTTACATGGTTTTGTAAAGATATGTCTATGTACTATTTGAAAAGTAATCATCTATGTGTTGTAGGATCCATCTCGTAACCACAGGGCCTACAGGTTGGCCGTAGCCAAACTCAGCCCTCCATACATTCCCTTCATGCCTCTGCTGCTTAAAGGTACTGAATCTCATTGACATTACTTACTATGTATGGTGGATAGCAGTCAACTTAATCATCACTTAACCCTGTAACGTTACAGATATGACGTTTATCCATGAGGGAAACCAGAACTACACTGATAAACTGGTCAATTTTGAGAAAATGGTGAGTTTGGGGTGAGCGTATTGCATTTAATTGAAATGATACTTTAAATTTAAACTTCACGCCTTAGAAAAAAACTTTTAACAAGTGTTGTTTACCTTATTTTCAGCGCATGATAGCCAGGACATTGAAGATGATTCGAGAGTGTCGAAGCCAGCCTTACGGTACGGCTCCCCCTAGTGGAGTGAATCACAGGACGCCACAGTTTAAAGAGATAGTTCACCTAAAAACGAACATTTTGTCATAACTTACTCGCCTCAAGTTGTTCCAAACCCGAGTTTCTTCTGTTGAACACAAAAGAAGATACTTTGAAGAATGTTGGTGATCAAAGAGTTGATGGTAGCCATTGACTTCCATAGTAGGAAAAAAAAAACAAGTCAATGGCTATAGTAAACTGTCTGGTTATCAACATTGTTTTGTGTTCAACCGAAGAAAGAAACTCATACAGGTTTGGAACAACATCATGTCGTTCAACAAATAATTCTTATCCGAACTCTGCAACTAATAGGTATTCTGTAAATTTTGTGCTTTTGCAGTGCCTTCATCTCCACAGAAAGGCTTGACCGAGAGAATGTTCTTGGATGCCCAAGCTATACGAATATCAACCTGTATGTTGTTTATTCTTCCTCAAAAATGATTTTAAAAAACAGTGGAATAAATTAGCATGATTTTGATTTCCCCCTCTCATATCTTGTAGATTCAGAGCAGTCCTTGACCCTGCGCAGTGGAACCAATGTAAGACTGTACATCCAGAACCTTAAAGTGATAGACAATCAGAAGAAACTAACTCAGCTCTCCAGAGCCCTAGAGCGCTGACACACCGCAAAGACTGCTTTTCTTCTGTCCGTCCTGCTCCATATTGGAGAAAAAATGACTGAGGGAATCCATGATCACCTTATGTGTGGTTAATTGGTGTTAATGATCACTCACTTTGTCAAGTGCTGCGTGGACTGTGATAAGCCGTGAATTGGCTGAGAAAATGCTGACATTTTTTTTTTTTTTGATGCCTTATCAGAAGTGTTCTGATCTGACTGATGTGACCGTCTAGGCCGTATCTGACACACTACACCATGAGCAAAGAATTTCACTTTAGTGCTGCTGGCATGAACTGTTATTTACTAATATATAGAAATATATATTGTATGACCATGTTGATTCTGACTACTTCTCTTCGCCATTCTTTCCAAACTAGCAACACTGGCTTAGGCAGTGTTGTAGATGCATAAAGTGGTGTAAAGAAGTTGTTTTAGGGACAAAGCACTGAAAAATGTCTTTGTAAATAAACATTATATAGACATTTCTATGCGCTAACTATGGTGTAAGCTGAAAAATAGACTAAACCACTGGATCATAGAAAATTAATGCACATAAATGCATTGTCTGTCAGCACTCATTCCATATGTAACAGTATTATGGCCTGTTTGGAATATTAACCTTTGAATTTCATAGCAAGCCAGCACTGGCAAACAGACTGTACAGATTTTAACTAGCTGCTGTATATAAAAGCCAAATAACACCAAAATATTATGAAGAGAGCACAAAAAGTTTTGTAGACATTATATATGAAAATATATATCTTATGCATTTTTTTTCTAATGAAGTGTTTATTTTTTTATAAATAAATTATTGAACATTTGTGTTGCTATTTCTTTTTTGGTTTAAAATATATTGTGCGTTTATGCACTATCAAAACCCACATACAAATTATTGCCAAATCATCTAAAAAAAAAAAAAAAAAAAATCAGTAAGAAGTTGTTAAAAAAAAAAACTAAAAAAAAAATGAAAGATTTATTTAAAATGCAAACTGTAAATACAAATAATTACTTGAACATCCCTCTGATTCTCCCCAATATGGGGCGATGAAATACGTCAAATCAGTATCAGCTGAAAATTAAAATAATCTCCTCACCAAACATATTTACAACTCAAAAAAAAAAAAACACAAACAAGGTTTGGGGCAGTTTTTAAAAATAGAAACAAAAAAAATGAAGACATACCCAGTGTTTCCTCCCGCCTAAAATACAAAAATCACGAGGCTAAAATCTAACTTTTGGAGGAATAAATAATTTGTTAAAAAAAAAATGTACAAAAGAGATTCAAGTGGTGTCTGACAGTTTTTGGTTGTGTACCAATTCAAACAACCATATTTGGTTGCAAAAACCTGCATATACAATAAATGCAGTTCAAATTTTCACATTCTACCAATAAAATCTAGACCTTTTTGGCAATTAAGTCATGTTTCTGTATTTTTAGACTACATTACACTGTTTTCTAAACATCTGGGATAATTTCAACCCTCGAACTGGGTGTTGTCTTCAAATAATCCTTATTTCTGAGAACCTTACTAAAATATAGTATTAACATACACGACAAAACAATTTAAAATGAACTTGGGAAAAAAAAAAAAAATACAACAATATTGCACTTCCATACAGATTTTCCTACGCATCCCACAGTTCCAGCTGCTTTCCCTTTCTAGGCGACTCGCTGAAACAGGAGATTCACGATGGGTGATTGCATTTACTTCCTGTCCGATTCCGCCACTTCAGCACCATGATGTACGGAGGCGTTTCCACTCTGACTTTAGCACTCCACAACAATCTCTCACATCCATACGCACACAAAACGGACAAAACGAAAAAAGTATACAGGTGTATTTCAACATTCAGTCCCTGGATGAGGCCTGCTGCCTTGGAAGAGGTTTGCTTTCAGTTCATTTTGCACCAACATTTTGTGGAAAATCTCCGTTCAAGTCCACAGTGGTTCTCCCTTCACCCACAGAAGTTTGGAGGGACGACCCTTCCGCTCTTTGGCCCAAGAGTCTGTTAGAGTAATGGCAAAGCACAGCTCTGCTTCAAGGCATTGGTGAGGTTTCACAGGCTCCAGTTGTGTCCCAGATGACTTTTAAAAGGCGACGTTGCCACTCGCTACCACCGAGATAACAGGACAGAAACGGCTGACATTCAGTAGGGAAGAACGGACGCCTTCCCGCGATGGATCCCGATGATATTTTCTGCGGAAACGCGTCACTCGATCCCCATCACCTGAGAGTGAAACCAGCTTGGCTTGTTTTCTTTTGAAGATACAGAGGTGACTGAGCTGAAAACATCTCATTCGAAGTGAAAACCCATTCCAATAGAAATCACATGACAAAACATAAAAACATTTCAAATGTCTTCATAAAAAAAGAAGAAGAAATAAAAGACAGCAGGTAAATGGAGATGAAGGTTCACTTTCGAAACACAATAAATGAACAAAACCTGTATTAGTATCTTTGGTTGATTGTGAAATACTGCATAGACCTTTTTGGGGGGGTTTAAACGTGTGTGTGTTTAGTGAAATAACACTCTAAAAATGAAAAAACTGTTATAAATTGAAACATACTCTTAATGTTAGTGCAGGTTGTGTCTGTCTTGAGCATTTGCTGCCGGGCAAGGCAAGTGAACCTGAGCTTTGGTTTAAGATCAACACAAACTGTTTGTAAGTGGTTGGCTATGAGTGGTGGTTAAAAATGGAAACCCACATCAAGGAAATTCAATAAGATAAAATAAACTATGTCAACATTCATTTGGCTTTAAGTCCTCAGGGTCTCGTCATCTAGTGCAGTACAGTGAAGATCCAGTGATCTTTCCTCCGCATTCCTCTACTGCAGTCTAGTCTTTGTCTTTGTTAAACAGCAAGTAACCTTCTCTTTGGATGATCTGGTTAAGAACATTCTTTGGGACGAGTTCTCCGCATGCTCTTGGGTAGTTTAGGCCTCGGATGCAGCCTGAGGTTTGAGCTGGGCTTTTTCCATGGCGGTGCCGTATGGAGTTCTCTTGAAGAAGCCGAGCTACAGGAATCAAGAAGATGAGAAAAGCGTTATTTACCATTGGCTACATTGAGTGCTGTCAAATCAATTAAATCGCGATTTATCGCATCTAACAGATGCTAGTTAAATTCTATTCCTATTGTGAAGAGTAAGAAATAATTTACAACTAGTTACTAGCTGGCCCAACAAAGCAGCATTATTTTAATATAATTGAGATACTATTGTAGTTTTTATTAATATATTGAATCCGCTTTTATTTTTAGATTTTCCATTTTCATTTGAAACTTAAATAAAAAACTATATAGGCATTTAAAAAAATAAAAACTATATAGACATTTAAAAAAATATTAAAAATTACAAAAATACACAATAAAATCTATCTAAAATGAGTTATTTTAATAAAATGTATTTTCTTATATTTTATTTTATTTCCGTTAACGCGTTAACTTTATTTCGTTTTTTTTTTACAAATGAGTCCTCCTACGTATAACTGATAAGAATTTGTTTATGCTTAGTTATACTAGTCTAAGAATAAGATTTACAATTAGTTACATTTTTTTTTTTTTTTACAAAATAGCTGTTACAAAATAGCCCGACTACTTAGGCTGTCAAACGATTAATCGCGATTAATCGCATCCAAAATAAAAGTTTGTGATTACATAATATATGTGTGTGTACAGTGTATAATTATTTTATATATATAAATACACACACTTGCATATATATATATATATATATATATATATATAAATATTTAAATATAATATCAATTATATATAAATATATGTACACAGTTAATGCATGCAAATATTTCTTAAATATATACATGCATGTGTGTGTATTTGTATACAAAATAATTATACACAGTACACACACATATATTATGTAAACACAAACTTTTATTTTGGATGCGATTAATCGTGACTAATCATTTGACAGCCCTACAAAAGATAAATAGTCTGACTACAATAGATTCGTTTACAAGCTAGTTTAGCTATGGTTGATACAATTTGGTGTTATGGTTAGCCACAAGTTAGTTCCATTAGTCAATTCTACTGAATTGGTTTACGATTAGTTAAAATATAGTCTGACAAAGAATAAGATTTATGTTATGATTAGTTACAAGTGTTTCTTAATGTATAGGATAACATTTAACTTAAAACTAGTGACTAACTTGTCTAACTACAAAGATTAAGATTTGTTCATGATTGTCAACTAGTCTGGCAACAATGGATACAAATTCGTTTACAATTAGTAGCAATCTACTTCTAGGATGAAGGATACGATAGTCCCTTTATAAAAGTTACATGTGCATTTATGATTAGTTGTAAGTTTTAAAATGGCTTTACCATTGGTTGCAAACCTTAGGAAAATCCTTTGTCTATGATTAGCCATCTTGAACTAGAACTCAAAATGGCAGACACTGACCTTGTAGAGGACATAGATCAGCAGTGCGAGCAGCAGAAGGCCGGCGAGAATAGCCAGAATGATGATCCACAGAGGAACAGCGTATGTGCTGTCTGGCTTATTCCAGACCACAGGAGTCACCAACTACAAAACAGAGAAAAGATGACCATCACTGGATGAGTTCAAATAAGATGATGAACATGAATGAGAATAGATGAGAACGTTTACCTTTTTAGCACCGCTAGGAGTCACCTTGGGCAAAATGGCATATGGCATCTTTTCCACTTTGTAACTAGCAAGGCACTCCAGAATAAAGCTTTTATAAGTATTCTGCAAATGAAAGCACAAAAATTGCATTTGTAACCTCGATATATGAATGAAATCGAAAAAATAAAGTCTAGGTTTTACAGAAAATAAATAGACATTATGGATAATCTCTATGTTTTGAAATAAGACAAGAAAATAATGATAATAATGATATTATTGATAATGACAATATTTTATTTTGTACACTGTATAACTGTAATTTAGTTGTTTTTACAGTTGTTTTATATTTAAAACTTTTACATTACGACAAAACATTACGATTTAAGAGAAAATACATATTAAAATATATATATGCAAAGACGTACACACACGCACACACTACATTTATAAGACCAATACGGGAAAGAAATAGAAAAAAAGTCTAGGTTTTATAGAAAATAAATATACATTTCTAATAATATTCAGAAATCTTAATTTTGTTGAAATAAGAAAATAATAATAAAACTGTTTTATTTTGTATATTGTAAAGCTATAATTATGTATTTTTACTATGATATTTTTATTTACACGTTTAATTCAGAACAGTTTTTAAAAAAAACAAATATGTAAACATTAAAATTTAAGAAAAAATACAACTTCAAATCACACACACACAAATGGTAAGCATGTAAAACTGGCTGAGCATTAATTTGAATGTGCCTAGTTTCATTTATCTAACAATCCCACTTGCATCCAGATGGGGGCGTTATTGCTTCACTGAATCCCAGTGTTTCAGCCTGGCTTTGGTTCTCACAAAACCCCTCTGACATTCCAATCCTCTGAGCGCTCAGGATTTCTCCTAATGTATTTTCAATGCACTCACTTATAAGCTTTGTATTGGCTAGAACAGCAGAGAGCATGTTAGGCGTCTCTCAAAAGAGCTCCTGTTTGGAGACATCATCTGACTCTCTTTAACATACATGAATAGAAACACTCACAGGAAGCAGTCACACTATACATTAAAAGCTATAATAATCGATTTAACCTGTATAATCATGTTATTTGAGTCTAAAATAAGTCTAATAAGCTTGTACATGCTTCTATTGCAGAGACGACAATTTTGGACTGCTTGCGCCAAGGTTTTCCGCTCACCTCCATAAATGTTTCTGCCCAGATTCGCGAGCGAACATGCAGTATGGCACTCGTCCCTCGCTCCAACAGGCCAACGTTACACGTAAGAGTCCAGCAATCCACACTGGAGCAAGACTGGCACATCAGAAAAAAACAGGATGACAGAAAAAAGTTAATAATCAGTTTACAGAACATTTTAGCTCATGACATAAGCTTTAATAACTGCAATTGACACTGAATTGCAATGATGCTAAAAAGACATGCCCTTTAAACAAACACAGATCATGTGAGTTCAATTTCCAGCCAGAAATAAATTAAATTACCATAAAAGCATGCCTGGCTGTCATTTGAGACACAAGCATTAATTAAAAACCCAACAATAATTATGAATGTGAAGATCCGGATGGAGAGATGGGACCATGGGACAGGCATTAGCGTCACGAGCCAACGGCAGTGACAAAGGACCTAATGTTAGCGTCTTGTGCATCGACTGCTTTAAATTAGTGGCGAATCGCTAGAAGAGTCACAGGACTGTAAAATCCTGCATACAGTTGCCTGAAGTCAGATTCCAGCCCACAGATGCAATAACATTTAGCTCCTTGGTTTTTACAAGCTGTGCATCAGCAGATCCCTGTAACATCAAATTCGTTTCATTTGCCAATAAGATATAATATAATGGTCAAGTCCATTTATCTTTTTCAATTTTTTGGTATATTTGGTAACACTTTACAATAAGTTTCCATTAGTTAGTGCATTAACTAACAATAAGCAATTCATGTTTTAGTATTTAATCATTTTTGTTAAGGTTAGCTAGTAAAAGCATAACTATTCATTGTTAGTTCATGTTAGCTAATGAAGCCTTATTGTAAAGTGTTAAGATGTCAATCCTAGGTGGGACCTTTTGAGTCCTGTAACACATCTCCACTGTTCACTAACAGAACATGTCAGCTCTCCCTCCACAAAATTAGCACAAGGCGAAGAAATAAATAGCCCTCTAGGAACACTTCATCAAGCAAGAGATGATAAATGTGGGCGATTGAGCGCAACAGGCGACAAAGCCCTCTTTCTTTTGGTCAGGTACAGCTACCTACAGCTGGACTACACAACCAGCTGCTGTCTGAGAGAGCCGGTAGCTGGAGCGGTTAATGACGCAGAGAACTACGGGGAATTAGAGGGTAGAGCGAGGACATTTCGGCAGACCCATCACTCTGGAGAGTAATGAGGTCATTAATGGTCACGCACATACGCAAGCACACAAATGCGCACACATGCACCTAGACCGACCAAGCAAAACATCTTTAATGGCGGCCAATCAGTCAGAGTAGATCTTTGACCCTGTGTGACTTGACCTTCTTCTGAGTTAGTACACTAGTGAACGAAAGGGCTCGCTGCATTCTCATGACCTCAGACGCCATATTGGACGTGTTTGTTCAACATTTGCATTTCTCAGTGAAGGAAATCCTGAATTTATGCATGCAAAATGGTGGCAAATATTGAGATAAATTGAGAAAACGACATGGGTTATGAGTGAATGCAAAAGCATTGAAACATTTTTCCTCCAATTTCATTTTTTCATCAGTTTGTTACTTTGGGATCTCCGTACATTTAACCCTCAGGTGCTCTTCGGTCATTTCTGAATGATTTGAATTTCTAAAAATTACAGCTTCATCGGAATGTTATGAAACTTGGTGACTTTTATGGCATTATGTATGTGAACGCACAAAAAAATTGAGGTCATGATCCGAGCATGCTAAGTGGTCTTAAAAAAATAGCCACACTTGTTGTCTTTGGTCAAAAATGACCCCCATAGGAAATGAATGGGAAATTGACAAAAACACAAAAATTCACAAATATTTATTTATTTATTTATTTTTTAATAAAAAATCGTTTAATAAAAAATATATATTCAAATCCACCAAAAAAAAGTGTTCATAAACATCTGGGGAATTCGCATGCTTCTCCAAAGAGAGCTGTACATGCCATCTAGTGGTTACACCATGATTCTACACTTTTTCTCTATACTGTAACCAGATGGTGCTAATTTTCTTCACATTTTTTTTTTCTGAAGGCCTAGACTCTATATTAAACTAAAATACTGCATTAATATATTTTTTTAAAGTAATATATATATATATATATATAAAAAAATATATATATATATATATATATATATTTCCATGGAAAAAATAGACCATAAATATTGCATAAATATTAATAAATTCAATCAAATTGTCTCAAAATTCTAAATTACAAAGAATAAATATTATAGAACAAAAATAAATTGCATTGGTTTTACTGGGATGGAAGAAATTTAATTTTTAGGTGTCCGGTCACTTTTGACCGGGAGGATAACAAGTGTGACTCCGAAACGAAGAGTACCTGAGCCATTTCAACTTTTGCTGATGATACTTCCTACTCTTTTGTTTTCTGCCTGCGATAACTATAAGGGAAACGTCACTTCATCATTGTGTATCAGACATTGCAACCTTGTGGAATAAAGGTCAGTTGCCCTTATTCAGTCATCAAACATTCAATTATTGTTGAGCAGAAAAAAATATATTTACACTATTACACACCTCGGGTCATTAGTGAGTGACCCAATACAAATTTGATTGAGAAAAATTAAATTGATTGAGGAATACTAAGAAAGTTGATGTCTAACTAAAAAATGCATAAGGAGGAGGGTAGTGAATGACGTCCCAGGTCACAAAAGACCTGAGGTATGTGTTTAAGGGTCAAGAAGGTCTCTCAGCATGGCCGAGCTAGTGTTTAGCTGGTGTCCCACTCTGACCAGCTGAAAAGTTTCCAAAACCCACTCCAAAATCAGCCAACAGACCAGACGGACAAGGTTAGGAGACCAACTAAAACCAGCAAGCCAGTTCATGATGGTTTTAGATGACTTTTCAGCAGGGAAGTCATTAGCTTACCAACTCTGGAATCAATTGCAAGAAGTGCTAATTGGGTTCTTTGAGTTGCTGACTATGCAGAGTGTTTCAAATTATTCACTTATGAGGTTTTGGTTGAGAAGACAGCTCCCCATTTAGGCATCTGAACAGAGCTAATATTTCACTTGCTTTCTTTGTGTTTTGCCTTTTTATAAACTTTTTTTCCCTCTTCACATTGAAGAAATCTCACCAGATTGGTCAGCTGAGACAGCTCGCCCTTGTGCGTTTCCCTCTTCTCGATGTGGTGTTCCCGTGCCGCGTCTCGCAAAGGAGTCTGCTCGGTAGAAGACTGCTGGAGCTAAAGACAGAGTGGGAAAGAGGAAACAGAACATTGAATGGAAACTCGCACACTGACATCACGGTTCAATCTGTACTGACGCCCTCTGACTCAACACTGACATTCAGCCGTGAGCTCAACGGGAGGGACACAACGTGCAGGACACAAGGGGTATTTTGCAACAGATGTCAGAATTTTACTCAACTTCTCCATTGTGTAGACTCATACACTCCTCAAAACCAAGAAAACACCCTAAACAGCATGAGAAACTGAACAAACAACCACTTCGGAGAGGAATTCTGCACAATCCCAGATGTAACAGCATTTTTGTTTTACTAATCATCCAGACGCCCGTCAGATGGGACAGAAGTGTTGTTGAGGGGTCTTTCATAAGAAGCTCTGATTAAGCTGATAGCTGTGTTTATATAGACAGCAGTGGAACGTGAAGAACGAAGGGAAGCAGATTGAGATGGGAGTATGGCAGGAGGATCAAAGGCTGGTTTAATGCCCTTGGGTGGGGCTGTTCTACGGACAGGGAGGACATATTAGGAAATATGGATGGATGGGTGGTGTGTTCATGTGTTTGGCATATGTTTTTGAGACTGTATTGGGACATACTGGGTGTTACTGACAGTGGATGTCCCTTGAGTTCAAATTTAGCTTGTCATCAACAAGCTCTGTCCCCTTTAAAAGCAACTGTTCTCCTCATGTGACTGCAAACGAGTCTCATGTCTTATATCTTTACAGCTTAAATTGCTACAAATTTACATCTTAAAAAAAAATAAAAATCTCAAAAATATTACACAAAATATTTAATTTTTCTCCTATGAGGAAAATTAAACATTTTTGAACGGAGGCTTTTTGCATGGCTATTTTCATTACAATTAGGCACACTTTCAAATGATCATTATTGTAATTTACTCAGATGTTTTAAATGTAATTGTAATAGTAACAGTATATATATATATATATATATATATATATATATATGTGTGTGTGTCAACAAGGCCAGCAACAAATACAACCATGGTATATAAATCCTTTTTGTTGTTTTTTTTTTTTTTTTTGGTTTGTTTTTTTGTATTACAATATAATAATGAGAATGACATTTTTCCATTGCGTTAATGAGAATTCTCATGAAAATAATGTATTCAAGCCTAAGGGTCAACAAATGGGCTTCATTTTTCATTTTGACTGATATATGACCCAGAAACATGATCCTAATAAATTTAATTTGATTCACACGTAAACAGTACTTTAATTGAAAAGCCTGATAGATCAAAGTCATGCACATAATGACAGAAAGCACTCCAGAATTAAGCTCTTCATCAGGTGAACCCTGATCAAATCTCTGTCCTGCAGTTAACCCAGGGCGTCTTACCTTGAGGTTCAAGGGGTTGACTATGTTGTGGGTGGTGCAGTTAACAGGCCCCTCCGTCGTGACCTCCAGTGGGTAAATGAACCTGTTACTTTGAAGTCTCATGGGGCATCTGAGCTGAAGTAGAGTGTGACTGATGCGGCTCGGCCCGTTGTTCACCAACTGAGAGAGAGAGAGAGATGAGTCAAGTGTTGTCATAATAAACCCTTTCAACCGCATTGGTTTAACATCAAGGTTGCGGCTTTGTTATTTTCATAATTACACGTACGCCATCACAACCTACAGATTTAAGTCGTGCTCCACAGGTGTTTCTGTAATCTCTGCTCATCATAAAAGGATGACTTGATGCCTTGTGCTATTTCAGGACCTATGTGTAACTGTTGGAGATTCTCCATGACAACTTCTCCATGTATAAGTTGTTTGCATGACTCATCTGCAGAATCCTGGCAGAGGGTACTTATAAAGAAACCAAACTGCAAGCAGCAATTACAGCGGCACTCACTGATATAAAAAAAGATATATATGAAATGGACTTAAAAAATATAAATTGCATTTTATATTATTTTTTTAATATTAAATAAAATAACCTAAAATAAAAAATAAACTTATATGTGAGTGTTTATATCATCTTTATAGCATCTTGCAGTTGATGGAGATTTGTGGGATACACATCCAGGGCACGAAGCTCCAGATCCACCACATCCCCAAGATGCTCTATTGGGTTGAGTTCTGGTGACTGTGTGGACCATTTTAGTACAGTGAACTCATTGTCATGTTCAAGAAACCAATTTGAAATGATTCGAGCTTTGGGACATGGTGCATTATCCTGCTGGAAGTAGCCATTAGAGGATGGGTACATGGTGGCTATAAAGGGATGGACATGGTCAGAAACAATGCTCAGGTAGGCCGTGGTATTTAAACGATGCCCAATTGGCACTGAGGGGCATAAAGTGTGCCAAAAAAAACATCCCCCACACCATTACACCACCACCACCAGCCTGCACAGTGGTAACAAGGCATGATAGATCCATGTTCTCATCTACCATCTCTACCATCTGAATGTCTCAACAGAAATCGAGACTCATCAGACCAGGCAACATTTTTCCAGTCTTCAATTGTCCAATTTTGGTGAGCACTTGCAAATTGTAGCCTCTTTTTCCTATTTATAGTGGAGATGAGTGGTACTCGGTGGGGTCTTCCGCTGTTACAGCCCATCCGCCTCAAAAAATTATAAGGGCAGGATTATAAATCCTGCAAATTTAACTGCTAGTTGCTAGGCAGCCATACATCCCAAAATTGTACCATAGTGATTTATAGCCATTACTCTGGATTCCTATCAATGACAGGCCATTCTGGCTTCAAGTCCAACTGAAGGATTCAGACAAGGTCTTTACCTCGTAAGTGTGCTGTACGGAGGGTCCGACATCCTGTTCAACCATTACATTCTTGGTAAACTTCCAGTTTGGTGGGGGAAAGAAGACCTTGTCTGGTCTGGAAACGCTGTAAAACGAGAGATAATGAGAAAATGAGAAGGTGAGGGAACAGGGAGAGCTTCATAGTGAGAGTTCCAGAAGAGCTATGGTCTTGTGAAGCACTAAATGGGTTCTGCATGTGAACTCACCCCTGCAGAATAACATCAGACTGGACCACCACCTCCAACTTGTAGGGGACGACTTCACTCTGGGAGTTATTCTCATTCTTACTGCAGATGGACAAATGGAGAGCTTAATAAAGAGCAAATTTAAGGGCATGTGCAACTAACCTGACCGTATAACAGATGCATGATATAATGATGCATAACAGTCTGACTTAATGTAAAAAAGAAAAGAAAAAAACCTGTATTAATTATATTTTTAAATAAATCATTAAATAAATTTATTTAATGTTGTCAATCATATATTTTTAAAATATTAACAAAAACGTGCATTTATTTTATTTCTTAAATATGTACATGTGTGTGTGAAACTATATAAACAAAATAATTTTTGAATGCAATTATTTTTAATGCGATTAATCGTTTCACAGCCCTTATGGATATATTGACATGTATACATAAACTATATTATTTTTAATATTTTATAATTCAAGCAGAATGATCTGTTACTAACAGAATTAAACAGTTATCCACGCTACTGTATAGATTTGATTTACTGTACAGTATAGTGTGAAAATAGTATTTGTTTATAAGCTGTGTTTATTTGCGTATATTCATAAGTTTCGTACCTTCGGATCTGTAGGTCAAACTGCACAAATTTGTGTGTGTCCTTGAGACGTGGTACAGTGAATCGTAGTCCGGCCCAAAGCTGCAAAAAATTAAATAAAAAACATTTCCAAATCATATTATCCCATAAGGATATCCCATCAAATCAACTTTTTCCACCATAAATATATATATATATATATATATATATATATATATATATATACACACACACACAATTAATTCATCAGAAATTGAGCTAAAACGACCAAAAAATTGGAGAAAACACAAGCAATTTATCATAAAGGAGCCAACAATATTTGCCATGTCACAATACTGAATTTCAGCTGTCCGTGAATTACCCCAGAGAATTCTCTACAGCACGCAGAACATACAAATCACCCATAATGCACTGTCTACCATAGCAACAGAATGGATATTGAGGTTGGTGGAATGTTTCTTTCCTGTACTCTATCCAAAAAACACAAGTGGAAACATTAAAATGTATCCTCTCTCATTCATCTTAGTGATGTCATGTTTAGCTGCACTGTCAAAAGCACTCCAGTTAGTTACTACCCTCATCCCTAAAGTGCTGAAGTCACCTACACAACTCCAGACTGCATGGGAGTTCCAGCCTCCCTTTTATAATTGTGGTTTTATGCTCCCACCGCACGCACACACACAAACTCTGGCAATAATACACGAGCTGCTCGTTTTCACTCCACTCCATGCGTGAGAGTTTGCGTGTGGGTGTCTGTGTGCGTGGGGGTAGGTGTGATTTCTAAATATCTCATTTAAATAAGATACGATTACAGATACAGGCCAGTTGTTGCGAGAAACCTCTTTGGTGGTCCTGGAATCTAAAAATAATGACCTAAATAAAGCTAATAATAGAATTGCTGAGTAAAAAACAGCCAGGTGACCTGCCTTGAACTAATTAGAGGAGTGTTGCTGCACTGACGGAAACATACAGAGGTCTCTGGAAACATATTGATTTGGAGCAGTTTGAACAATCACCCAATTATATTCCATCTCAGCAGACACATTAAAAAAACACAAATCCCTCCATCTTCACACAGTGGCATTTTGGAAAGGGGAACTCCACTCAGGGTAGAGCCTATGACTGTCACTTCCTGGATCGCTAGTGGGAACTTCCTGCCTGTCCAAACATGATCCAACACAGTCCTTAACAAGACCCCCAGACAGCACTATGAGCTGACTAACAGGTTAGGTGACTAATAAAGGTTACATGACTAACAGGACACAATTATGGTTGCTGGAGGTCTGGATTTTATTTGGGAGAATGCCAGTCGTCAGTAATCGGAATTGCCACTTTTCCAGATGTTTTTGATTACTGGATAATGATAACTGGATTGTTAAAAAAAATAATTTTATAGAAATTGCACACACAAAAAGCAATTTCTAGCCAAGGAAAAATTGTATAGTTCAGAATAAATAGAACTATAAATTTAGAGACAATAGAGATATATAGATAGATGTGGATATATATAGGACAACAGACAGACAGACAGACAGATATAGAGACATAGATAGATAGATATAGAGACATGGATAGATAAATAGATATAGAGACAATAGATGTAGACAGACAGACAGACAGACAGATATAGAGACAATAGATGTAGATATAGAGACAGACAGACAGACAGACAGACAGACAGACAGACAGACATAGATAGATAGATAGATAGATAGATAGATAGATAGATAGATAGATAGATAGATAGATAGATAGATAGATAGATAGATAGATGAACATACTGTAGAGATGAGAGAGAGAGCAATAGAGAGATAGAGAGAGAGAAAGAGACGATAGAGTTAGAAATATTTATAGAGAAAGACTATAGAAGTAGATATATAGAGAGAGAAAGAGACGATAGATGTAGATATAACGACAAAGAATGTAGAGATAGATGTAAAGACGATGTATGTAGAGACAGACAGACAGATATTCTCTATAGAAATGTATTTTCCATGACATCATACGATTCTACACATTTCCATGACTGTCAAAGTAACAATTTTACAATTTTCAAACACACTGGGAAACTAGTTTAGATTCAATCACATTTGATAAAAGGTGCTTTTTCAATCACAATGTGAAACCTCAAGTCAATCTAGTGTGTAAACACACAAACAGAAAAGATTAAGTGTCCTTACGCTTGTTCCTGATTTCATGGGGTTCCCCAGGTCACAGCTGAGGTAACGGGTCTGATTTTCCGTCTCATAGCTGCAGGTCAGCTGGGTCAGACTCTGTCCAGAGAAATAGAGAAAAAGACCTGTAAATTTCAGAAAACACACTCACACCATACTCCAGACTTATGTCTTGACTGTTTTGCTCTAAATTATCCTTAGGAATGAAAATATGTTCAGGACAAGTAATTCATTAATTAGCCCTTTTCAACGCCCATGATCCAGACACTCCTTCCTTGAATGGTCATCTAAATTTTAATGTATAAAGAAAATAATAGTATTTATTTTTTTAAAGACATCTTGTTCACCAAATTAGATAACTGATTACTTCATTGTCATTGTACTAAAGCAAAAATAATTATTCAAATTTTAATATATTACATTTTATCTATCATTTAATAAAAAAGGATTATTGATAATAAAAATATTTTCATTAAAAAAATCGTGAAATTAAACACAAAAGACTGAAATTGTCCCACGGTTGCCCAAACCGGCGCATTAAAACACCGACCGCTGTCAAGTTTTGCCTCACTACGGAATTTCTCCTCACATGTCCGCATTAATAAAACACACATCTTTTCTTGAGTATCAAAGTAACAGAACAAAGGTCTTTCTCAGCTGAAATGCTGAACACATGTAGGAGTTAATGGACGGGATCTGGCACACGTCCGTGTAATAGGCAGCACCTGGAGGGAGGGTCTCCATATCTCACCTCATTATTGCGGGCTATTCCGCTGTAGTCGGCCTCTGGTGGCAAGACCACATACAGCTCGGCTTCATAAGCTCCGCCTCCGTCGTTCTTCGCGTTGAAAGTCAGGGTCAGAGAGTTGTCATCGCCCATGTACACTTCCTTCCTGTCCCTGCCGTACCCAAAACATGAACAAAACATTAAACTCTTGCCTTGGCAGCTAATTTACCTTCTATAGGGTCTGGGTCTTCTATACAGCTTATCAAGTGCTGATTTAATCTTAGAGCAATAGTACAAACATTGTGGGAGGAGTTATTGGCCAATGTTTATTTATACAGGTAGACTTTTGTTTAAATCTCTAACCCTGAATATAAGCAATAGCTTTAGTGCGTTAACAAGCACAACTAATCAATTAAAAAGATAGATATACACCTAAATTTAGAAATTTTGTTGTAAAGTATAAACCATGGTGGAAATAACCATTCAAAAGTTTGGGGTGGGTGTGATTTATGCTCACCAAGGCTGCATTTATTTGATCAAAAACACAGTAAAATATGTAAAATATTATCGCATCTAAAATACCTGTTTTCTATTTGAATATATTTTAAAATGTAATTTATTCCAGTGATGCAAAGCTGAATTTACAGCACCAGTCTTCAGTGTCACATGATCCTTCAGAAATCATTCTAATATGCTGATTTGGTGCACAAAAACATGTCTTATTATTAACATCAATTTTTTTTAATGACCAGAAAGTTCAAACAGCATTTATTCTCCTGTTTTTGACTAATCTGTGCTAAATAAAAGTATTAATTTCTTTCTAAAAAGAAAGTGTAATTCTGCTGATCTAGCGGTGAAATATCACCCAGATCTTTCCAACAGGAAGCCCTTCCTCCTGCATTACACACACATTTCCTATTAAAAACCCCTAATTTCCATTGTAGCAATAAAGTTCAACATGCAACGACAAAGACTGTGAAACATTCCGCAAAGTTCCCTTTTTCTATTCCTACATGTTCCCTCCCCCCCTTTCTTTTCTCTCTACATCTCAGACACAATGAGAAATTCCATGCGAGGGCCACACAGACGCTTCCAATTACCGCCTGGCCTCGTAAAGCCATGCTGGGGAAGCGGCACACACTGAATTCAAACACTGGCACTCGGCTGGTGGGAGACTCCAACCTACATGGAACCCGTCGCTTGCTGCACTTTCATAACAAACCCCTTCAGATGGGCACATGTGAGGTTGGGGTCATGTCACAAGAAGGTCAAGATTTACATTCAATTGCTAAATATCACGATCCTCACAACAAATTAACACCAGTGAGCTCTAATAATCACATGGAAGTGATTCAGCGCAAAAAGTTCATTTGAGTGAAATGGAGAACTTGGCTGGGTTTCCTCAACATGGACCTGGGAAGCAGATGCTGACAGTGGTACTAAAGAAAAGCCATGTTGTCCCGGGCATTCTCTGGGAAGCTGTCGAGATGTAGTTTCACGTTTTCTCCTAAAGAATAAGCGCTCCAGGGAATCGCCAATTCGCATTATTCCCTCTGCTTGTTGAATGTCAATCACTCTGCGAAGTGAATTAATGCCCTACGCTGTTTCATAAATATGTGACCTAAGACAAATGCAACAAATATGTAATGTTTTTGGTAAGGCGCATTTTTGCGGTCGAAGAATAACAGCAAATGCAAACAAATCGGTGTATAAAAGACTGCAGGGAAATTTTTTGTTTTGTTTTGTTTTAGCTAGGTCAGCCAATCCCAGCACCTGTTGCTTAGCCTTCCTTCCTGTTCTTCCCTGAAGTCAGTGTGTATCTGTGCATGTGTGTGTCACTATTCTCACCTGGGAAAACTGGGATTTTCTAAAAGCTGTAACTCATCACATATTATCTAAATATCTTATCTAAACAGTAGCTGGAATAACAATTGTTCATTTCTCAAGCCTAAAATCATTCTACTTTATATGTGTTACTGCAAACTTGGCAACAAGCAAAATAACCCCAGGCCTTTGTTTATTTTTTTGGATTTCTTGCTAATCATCTTACCCGTGCACGGAGAGTTTCAGGTCAGGGACGCAAATGTTGTCCTCTCCACAGTCCAATAAAATCTGGGTCTAGAGCAGAAGCCAGAAAAAAGTAAAGGCAAGTTACTCCATGTCAGATTATTGTATTGTCAATTTGCAACCTATTATACTTTTGTAATGTGACTTATTTCTGAGTAAAACAGGGTATTACATGAGAAAGAGAAACCGGATTTGGTCTTTCAGAAATTGTTTGGATGGTGAATATTGGGCAACCATAAATGAAAACAGGCAGAAGGGTTGCCAGGTCTGGTTGCCTTGACCCTTCCCCAAATATCAAAACTCAAAATATGCCACTCCCTAGAAACTAGAAACATATTTTACAGTTGCTGTATGCGTTATGCACAATTCAACTTGAAAATCACTATATAGCAGGAATGAAATGCTGTTTTAAGTCTGTTTTCATAAAAGAGCTCCCTATCAGTGCCCTTACTCACTTAACTCATCTAGCACAGTTGTATCATTGTTAGAATGTAAAATATCTTAATACAAGCATTTCGGTCAAATAAAACAAAAAAAAAAATATTAATAATCAACCCGTGGCAAGATCAAAAGTATACTAATTCCGTGTAAAAACATCTGACATGGCAACCCTGCCAGGCAGATCTATGTAAATTCAGAACAAATGTAAGCTTTTAATTTTGTTTATTACGAATTATTTTGTTTATTATTGTAATTACAAATGTATTCCAAAATACAAAAAAAGCTATTCATGCCAGTGTTTTAATATATATCTGAATTAAAATTAATTTTGTTTCCAAATTTGAATTTGGCATAATCTTTATTATTATTAATATTGTAGAAAAAATTAAATAAATCAAAACACAGGGTCCATTTTAATTTCATGTTGGCTTTAAAGGTAAACGTAGTAACTTAGCCATTCATTTATTTATTAAGATTGTGATCTAAAAATAAATAAATAAAAAGATTCTTTAGCACCATTTTTTCCCTCATCGAACACAGAATGACTCCAATGTCATTCAAACAGGCATACAATTTGCATAACCAATAATGAAATTAAACATCTCTGTGCACTTCACACAGAAAAAAAATCCAATAAACCTATTACAACCCCCTATTAAACAACTGCAGCTATTTTCAAAAATCCAAGCAAAGTACTCATAATAAGATATTTGTCAGTTGAACAGATGTTTGTCAAGAGCAGATGTGTATTGGCTTCAATAATGTATAGAGCTCATTTAAAGGAATAAAAAGCTATGGCGGTTCGGTTCTATCTACCACCAACATCCACATCAGAGGCTGCCAGTGCCACCCCTAAACCGCATGCTAGCTGCAGGCGACACCACCCAACTCTCACCACACACACAAATATATTGCATAAAGCACACACACATTAAAGAGAGAGAATCCATATCCATATACAAATTATGAATGAATCTAAAAAATGGAGAAAAGGGGAAAGTCGTGCCACGGCTAATTGCTTCCACCTGATGCCGTATTTCCAACATGTGCGAGGATGACGCAACATGACGATGAGGATAAAAAAATAGAATGGGAGATTAGAAAGGGCAAAGTGGCTTCCCTGTAATCAGCAATCGCTGAGCTCTAATTACAACCCACTCCTTTCCACAACTCCGAACCTCCTGGAGTGGGTTGTTTGGGTTCACTAAAGCAACCAAACAATTAGAAGCCCAAGAGGAGATACAAGAGGAGGTCTCATGTGCATATGTCCAAGCTGACCCCCAGCCAAAACCACCGTCAAGTGTTTACGGAAGTGTCAAGGTCTGCAAACAGCATGATTGGGTCAGCAAACTGGAGGGCGCCGAGCAAGATCACTCACAACATTTATCAAAGGAGGCCCAAAACATCTCTCATCAAAAGGCAAGATGAATATGGAGCCTCACATTAATAGTCCCATGCAAATAAAAACCACATATAAGCTTTTTTTTGCCATATATATTCATTTATTCCATTAATTCTTTAAAAGAAAAGCCTTAGAAGTTCGGCATTATCTCTTACTTTTTATTAAGAAGAAATATAATTTAATTAAGAAGTATTTTATTACGTTGTATAAATGTAATGCTCTATTATATAAATAAATACCCACAATGTTTTAGAGTAATTATAATTAATTATTAATATTAATAATATTGTTGTTACCACAATATATTTTTATAAAGTATTAATATTGTAAATATCTATAAAAATAAAAAAACATACATATATACATCCATATATATATATATAATATGTATATATATATGTATATATACACATACATACATACATATATATAGATAGATAGATAGATATACACATATATACATATTATATATTTATATATATATATATATATATATATATATATATATACACTTTAATTTTCACAGTATTTTTTGTTAAACATATGTAATATTCATAATAATAGTGTAATATTCTTAATAGTACTCCTAATAATAATAATTATAAATAACAATAAATAATTACTAAATGATATTTTTAGTGTAATCAAATTTTAAATTGAAAATAGTTTAACAGTCTATTTTATTTATGTTTATTTATGCATTTTAAATCAAATGAAACCCACATGAACAAGAATTTTCCTTTCGATTATCATGGATAAACTCGTTTATCTTGAATGAAAGAGCTTCCACTTGGCCCGAATAAGCGAAGGTTTCAGAAGTTCGCTCCATCTGCGATGTTTCCAAGACCTCTGATTAGATTGACCATATGCAGAAACACAGCGGCCCATGTGTTCGGCACAGTCTCAATGACTACCGAGAGAAAACTGCCGCCCAAAACGTTAAACCTAAACAGACGGCATATGGCCTGTGAGGACCCGCCCGGAAAAAAACAGAAATCTATTAACCCTTTATACACACAAACACCTCTACGGTGGAGTTTCCACAATGCCCAGTGAGCTTCTCCTGGTGGGACAGTGAAAAGTAGTCCGCTCTACACGCTACACATTTCCTCCGGCTCTCAAACGGCTTTCCAGACAATTTGGAGAACATCCAAGATGTATGTTTTGATAATCTCATCATGAAAGGGGAGAAGAACACACCGCACCATGCAATATCTCGGTTTACTCCTGCAAAGAATTGTGGAATATGTACGTACTTTCTGTTCGATGAGCTCCGCCGTCTGGTAGTTGAGGATGGGCCGCAGGCCGTGTCTGTCTGCCGCGGATTGAGGGTTCAGGCTGAAGTTCAGCGCAACGAAGATGGGAGACAACTTATCCCTGAAGTCCTTCTCATCCTACACTCCGAGGAGAACAGAGTGGAAGTTTGTGAGAAAGGTCAGAATGCAGGATGAAATGACACTCTTAATCCCTCGCTGCATTTTTTTGTGTGTTGCCGCACTTATCTTACTTATCTATACTTTAAACAATTATCTTTTACTAAAAAATGGAAAAATCACTTCAATGGTTTTCAAATTTCCATTAGTTAAACCCCGCCTACTCTTAATTCTCATTGGCTCACAATCCCCTTGTTTATAAAATGTACATTAATCAACAAATGTCTTCTGAATGCCACATTAGGACATGATTACATGCCTAAATTTAATAGATTAGCAATAGAGAGTGAGTAAAATCATGACAGTGAACTATCCCTTTAAGTTATATCATGAGATCAGTATCGTGTATCGAACCAAACCATGACATACCATAAAACTTCAAATATTAGCCGAGTCCCAAATAGAAGCTTGTCTCTTTTATACCCTGGTGTGATTGCAGGTTTGGGTAAATAAAAGCCGGTCTCAAATAGAGGCCGGGTCTGTTTTTTCAGTTTCGGCTTGTAATGTATTTAATCTTCTAAAACGTGTCAGATTGTCCGCCAAAGCAATTTTTTTTGTCCCACCAAAGCCTTTTTTGATCGGTGAGTGAAGTAGAATAGATCCATCTCCCTCGCGCATATTAATCAAAATCATTTGATCCAATAGTAAACAGTTGGAAGCCCACCGTTTCATGTGGAGCATTAGGAGATATTTAGAGACTCTAGGCTTACACTCAATGAACAACATCTCAACACTAAATTATAAAGGCCTGTCTCATATAGACGCCCGTCTCAAATACAAGCCGGTGCAGTTCGACGATTTGGGAAAATTAAAGCCCGGGCTATTACTTGAAGTTTTACAGTAAGTGGATTGTTATATTTCTAGTTTTGTAGATAAAAACTCACCCGCAAGTAGATCTTAGTGTCGCTGCAGATCCTGCCTCCGTTTGGCACAGTCATAGTCCTCTTCTGAGCGGGAAGATGGGTGTCTAAAAACAGAGCTCTCCGTACGGCCCCCTTCTGCTGCTGCTTCAAGCGGTCCAGCTGAACTTCAATGTTAAACTCTAAAAAACAGACCCATTAACAGATATATTTAGAAGTCTTTTGGTCCGCACACAGGTGCAGGACGGCACCAAATCTCAAAGCCGATTGGTCAGATCAGAATTTTGGCAAGAGTGGAAAATTCCCCCAAACGTTTAGGTTTTATCATCATCCAAAACTTGAAAAGAAAAGCCATTATACTTTTGATGGGCATGAAGGAATGTGCATGCCATTTAGATGTATGTTGGGCACCTGTGCTCAACATACTCTCAAGTGTGTGTAGTGGGTGTTATTCTTCACACATAGTCTAGGCCACTAACGCCAGGGCATATGGTGGTATCATTAGCACGGGGGGGAATAGAGGTATGGAAGGCATTTTCTGCCAATTAAAAAAATAAATTAAATGATAAAAATGAAAACTAAAACCAGATTAACCATTTCATTATAGAAAATTGCATGCTAAATAGAAAATTTAATTAAATGAGTTTAAAGGTGACAATACATCATCCTTATCAAATTGAAAAATAAAATGCAATTGGTGATTTAACAGCATGATGATGCATTGTCACAGTGAACGTTAAAATGAAAGCTAAACCATTTCATTTTCAATTTCGTCACATTAAATTGTTATTCTGGTTTTAGTTTAATTTAATTGATTTATTCAACATTGGCATAAAATGCCTTCCATACTGAATAAATACATTGTGAAGGTTGCATATGGACAAAGAAAGGCTTATGGATGGGAAACAGAAATATGAAGCAAAGCTCTGCAAAAAACAACAACATTTATTTTAGGTTGTGAAGAAATTAAACCTATATTAACTTTCCGCTGCAACGCTTGGGTGTTGCAGGTGGTTGCTTATCTAAAAAAGGAATATTATTTAAGATAACTTTGTAAAGAGGATCCTATAGGTACGTGAACGGGAGCAGATGTGGCTTACCGAGATCATTTGGTAGGTGCTTCCCATTGGCTGTTAGGCAAAAGCTCAGGTTGACACTGTAAGAATCACAGCAGACAAATGATGAGAAATGAAGTGGACTTATTACAATGAAGCATTAGAAACACATTGGTTGCATCGCTTTGGCTGTGAAATATTTGCTTTTATCGCTTTCTCAGGCCAAATGGCTTGGCAGCCTGAAGAAAGGACGGAAGGAAAGGGGATTTAACTGATGCAATGTACCTTTCAAAAGCTTGGGGTCGGTACGATTTTTTCATTTTTTTGAAAAAAGTTACTTATGCTCACTAAGTGTGAGCATAAATACAAATAAAAAAAAACAGTAAAAAAACATAATATTATGAAATATTATTAAAATTTTAAATAGATAAGTAATCTATTTTATTTCATTCCAGCATTTTTCAGCAACATTACTCCTGTCCACAGTGTCAGAAATCAGAAATCATTCTAATTTAATATTTAGAATGTTAATATTTAATATTTTTGCGGAAACCGTGATACATTTTTGTCAGGATTCTTTGATGAATAGACATTATTTATTTGAAATAGAAATCTTTTATAATATTAGAAATGTCTTTAGTGTTACTTTTGATAAATTGATTACATCCTTGCTTAATAAAAATATTAATTTAAAAGAAACTGACCCCAAACTTTTAAAGAATAGATGACTGATTAAGATAATAGCAATGTATCCATCTATTTCAGAGTAATAAATGGTGGTGTAACTGAACGCAAGCAAGAAAGAAAAATATTTTGAAAATGAATGACAATTTTAATGAAAGAATGAAAACCTTTTAAAAAAGTACTAAAAAGGTTTAAAAGACAAGTTTCACAAAATAAGAGAGAAAATGAAAAAAATATAATAAGAATAAAAAGAATACACAAAACAAAGAACACAAAAGAAACAAGATACAGAAGGGGAAGAGTGAAAGAGTGAAGAAAAAAAAAAAAAAAAAAAAAATCACAATCCGGGCTACTTCTGACCTGTGCAATAAACACAATGTGTTCCCATGTGTGTTTCTAAGCCTCAGAATACATCTGTGTATGTGTGTGTGTGTGTGTGTAGCTCAGTGCGTCCTGATGTTTCCCAGCTGTTCCACCACTTAACAATATCTCATTCAAAGCCGCTGCTAGACCTCTTTCTCTCTCTCGCTCGCTCTCTAAATTCTCCCAAAAGCCTCTGTGTCTAGGCAACGACTTGTAATCAAGACATATACAATGTATACAAACTTTCCCTGAACAGGCGGAGACACAGACATTTTACGTCAGATGGAGGCCAGCCCCGTGGAGTTTCCTTTCACTCCACAGATTGGATGTATATTTCAAAAACACACGTAAAAGACCTTCCTGGCTCGTTCTCAACCAGCATAGCAAGTCCAAACCATTTGGAAAAGCATCTGCAGACCACATAACTACACCTTTCCATATGCTCGGCCGAACACACAAAGCCCAACTGTGGACGTAATGAAGTAACCTTCATTTACTAAATTAGATTTGTAAAATTCCAACATAAGTGCACTTCAATGGTGCTTAACTGATGTTAAATGTGAAAGATCGTGATCTTGTACCATATTATTGCTTATTGAATGCTCGGGCTTTATTATCCAAATCCTATTTGCTGAATTGGACCAGGAATACAACAAATTCTGTCCGAAACAAGATGGCGGACATACCAGGACACATAGAGGGTCTCGTTCCCACGGCTTATGGGGCAAACTTTCTCCTCAGGATTAATCATAGTTGGGTAGACAGTCAAGGTGGCACTGGTGTTCACAATAGGACGAGACCTGGAAATGACATATCATCAGTATTTAGCATTTTAAACAGTTTTATGATTACAATTGAAATAGATTTCCATAGGTACGCTACCCTTCAAAGGTTTATGACAGTAGTCTCTTCTCCTCACAGAGGAGTTTATTTGATCATAAATACGTTGTGAAATATTATGACAATTTAAAATAACTGTTTTCTATTTCAGTATATTTTAAAATACAATTTATTTCTGTGATGCAAAGCCACATTTTTAGCATCGTTACTCATACTCATTCTTATATCCTGATTTGGAGCTCAAGAAACATTTCTCACAAATCAACAATGCTGCTTAATTTTTGTTGAAACTGACTTGTGACTTGTAAAATATCAAAAATGTCTTTGACTGACCGGTAAAGAAAGGCTGTGTCCTGACCAAATGCACCAACAATGAGATCTGCAAACAACAAAAACATGATATCAGACTAGATTTCAAAAGTAATGGTGGTGGATATGGTAGCTCAACAGACAAAGCTTTCTCACCAGGGTAGCCATTGTTATCCAGGTCTTTGCCTCCACGAAGGGCGTAACCAAAACTCGCAGGTAGAGCTGACGGTGTGGCAGAAGCCCATTGGCCAGTGATCACCTGAGAGGGCTTTTCCCTGAGTCCTCCAGCATGTCCGTTATAGATGAGCACCAATCCTTGTTTATTTTCCCCACCAAACGGACAGCTGATGGCCACATCTGTTAAGAGCAGATTGCAGAATTAGGGGTGCACTGATGTTACATTTCTGGCTAATAAAACAAATGTGTGATCATGATAAATGATAAACAACCGATATTAATTGTTTTATTTTTGAAAGTAATCATTTTAATCAAACAGATAAATGACAGACATATTTAATTGTGACAACTCTATATAATTGTGTCTTAAAAAGTAATAATAATAATTTTAAATTAACAGATTTTTAAAATGCCATATTATTATAATATTCTCTAAATAAATTACAAATAAAACACTAAAAACTAAATGCGATAAATGATAGATGTTAAATTTCTAAATAATTTTGTCTAAAGCTAAAAATGAATCGCACACACAAAAGTATAATCTTTTATATAAGTATAATAAAAAGTATAATTCTTCTAAATTAACCGATAAGTGATGGATTTAAAATGCTATATATTTTTGTCAAAATAATTCGAATAAATAAATAAATATATATATATATATATATATATACTGTATATACACATATACAAGTATATGAAATATTTTTAATTAACCGATAAATAAAATTTAGGCATAAATTTAGGCATCATGACATTATAATTTACAACATGAATGATACTCAATTTGAGATTTGTTAAATATTATATTTTACAAAAGAAAATTAAACTTAAATGAGTGTTAGATGACCACAAAGGTGCAAAGTCTGCAAACATTAGACAAATAGGCATGCACAATAAAATATTGTCCGATATAAACCTAATAACAACCAAAACTGATAAAGAAACTCCAATATCGGCCGATAACCGATTTGGTTATTTAAAGACTGAAAGATAAACAAATGCAAAAAATCTGGGCAAATCTCTCACCATTGTAACCATCTTGGTTGAGATCTCCAAGAGGGGTAATGGAGCTGCCAAACCGGCCGAACGTCTGTGTGCCGGTGAGGTGAGGTAGCTGAGGTGTGAGATCCAGAGGTCCATTCTGCAAGTATACGTAGACCCGACCCAACTCCTCTAACCTCCCATCAGAGTCACGAACCATGAACATGGGAGCGCCAACCAGCAGGTCTGTCATTCTGAAGGTGATATGAACCACAAACTTAACCACCGACACCATTCCTGTGGCACATTCTTGTCTAAACCTGGTTATGATTACCTACCCGTCATTGTTGATGTCAGTAACAGCCACCGAGTAGCCATAGTAGGAACCCATCTGAAAAATTTGGGAACATCTGGTGAATTAAAATCTACTGATCTGAATCATCACAGATACTAGTCTCACATTTTTACATTGTACATGCAAACAACATGTAGGATCTTATAAATGTCACATTTTCGCCTTAGGCATACACTGCCATTTACTCCAGTTTGTGGTGTGAGTGAGTAAATGAAGAGAGCTCTTTGATGATTCAGATGTGGCTCTTTTTCAAGCCCCCCTGAGGTGGGCACACACACAAATGCTTTTTGATTGTATTTACTCAGCTGAGGCAATCAGAGCAGTTAAAGGCCTCTAACAATTTCCATTTGCAAAACTGTGGCGCTAGTTTAGGAAAATTGCCCGTAAGCTCACGCCTCACATAATCCGTTCTTTACTGCTTACCACAGAGCACTCTAGCCCAGTTTAAAGAGACTTGTTAAAGGAAATTATTTTTGCTTATATCATCAGTGTGCAACAGTTTGAATATCATGGTGGGATGATGTTTAAATGCCACGTTCAAAAATAGCTGCCGTCATAAATTAGACGTTTTGCACCACAAAAGCCTATATAACAAATTAGAAAATATAGATTAGAAAAATAGATTTGGAAATATCAGTTAGTAACAAGGCCACAATACAACCAAGTTTAATCATCAATGCACCAATGTATATTTCACCAGCAGTGTTGTAGTCGAGACCACCTCACTCGAGTCCGAGTCAAGACCGAGTCCATAGAGAGTCGAGTCCGAGACCAGAGACGGTCGAGTCCGAGACCAGTGAGGGTTGATTACCTAATTTACTTTTATTTACTTAGAGAAATCCTTTTTTTATTTTACTGAATTTACTTAGAGTTTAAAAAATATGATCAGTTTACGGTAAAAAGGCCACATAGTAGGTGGTGTTAAAAGTAATTTTATTACAATTTGTCATGCGCAATTGTGCACTAGAAAATCACCAATCACTGGGCGTGTCAATCAATTTAAAGAAATATTTTATTAACATACATTAATAATCATGAAAAATATTTTGAATTGAACTCGAGTGGACTCGGGAACAAGTCAGAGTCCTAAAAAAAAAAAAAATGTTCGAGTAGGAGTCAATTCCGAGTCCAAATGCACACGAGTCCATGACAAGACCAAGACCATTAAAATATGGTCTCGAGACCGAGTCCGAGACGAGTCCGAGTCTCGAGTACTACAACACTGTTCATCAGACAGTGTGGAATATGGTATGTACCAAAAGTTTAAGACTACTACAATCCAAATGTTGATCTTGTTTACTGTTTGTCATGGTGGAAATTAAATACATGGGATCAAATTTACCTGCTCTCCAGTAAAAGTCTTCAGTAACTCCAGAGAGCCATTGAGAATGGAAACCTGATAAAAAAAGGCAACACACTATCATTTTTGTTCCATTAAGTACCATCATATGAATCTCTGGGTTAATTTAGGGGATGTGTAAGGGATTTTGTGACATGTATCACACTGAAAAGTTGCTGTAACCCCCCAATTTGAACAAAAAGTTCTCTGGCTAAATGTCACAGTTGATAACGCTACTGCTTCTTCTCACCTGTCCATGGAGTCTGACTCCCCTGGGAACTCCAGTCACAAAGTCTGAAAGCAGGCAAGCCAAAAAAAAAAAAAAAAGGAGGAGGAAAAAGAGACAGATTTAGTAGTGGAAACATGGAAATGTGTTGGTTCCTCAGGAACTCAGAGAATTCTGGTGATCAGAGCCACTCCAAGTGCTGTTTTCAAGTTTGTTTAAGTGAAATGGATATAATAGGATATAATCATAACACTTCCTTTGAATGGTTCTACATACAATGCTCCAATTTAATACTTCTGTCTATGGTTATTCAAACAACAGATGATGTTAACTCATTATCTGTGGTAAAACACTGTCATTGTATTTCCATTTTTAATAGATAAATTAAAAACGACACCAAAATAAGCTAGTGAAACTGTAACCTAATTGATCACGCCACTATGATGTAGAGGTTTTATTTTTTAGAGTTACGACACTCACCTTCATAATCATCACCACTGAACTCGCCGACAGCCAATGAATAACCTGTTAAACCAATGAATGCGGAAAAAATAAAATGTCGGTGGTGACAAACAGGAAACACCCTGTGATAAGGCAATAATAAAAATGACTCTACAGCTAATAAAAGGGGGATGGAAAGACATACCCATGTAGTTGTCATCAAATGAGATCTCTTTTATCTGTTTGGTCTGAATCTGTCCATGCACTGATGTCAAGAAGTATCCAGGGTAATAGGCCTTGACGATTTCTTGTTTAACTGCGGTGATCAATTGGCCTAGAGATTGTAAGGAGAAACGGATCTTTTAATTGCACTTGCATTGAGGTCACAGTCGATGCAAATAATAAATGTAAATATTCACATTTTGAGATGAGAAAATTAAATAAAGCATAAGAAAAGCATCTGAACATAGCATGGATGAGCTCTGCAATTCGGCACTCTAGTAAATTCACGTAACGTTAATTTATTATTACTCCAGTGTAGGGGTGAAACGATTTTCGAACCGAACCGAAAAGAAAAACCGCGATACGGAACTCGATTCGAATCGCGATACTGTCATTGCGTACCGAACACGCCCCGCCCCGCCCCCTGCTTCTGTGTATGCTTTTACTCACAGATGTCCGACCGGAATGGACTTAAACGAGACTTCAATACGATTTCCACGACGCATGTGCGAGAACTGAACTGAAGTAGTTGAAGGAGATCGCAATTCTCGCGCGTGCGTCGTGGAAATCGCATTGAAGTCTTGTTTCAGGCCAACAAGGAAGAAAAGAAATAGTCGAATAAAGTCGTTATTTTTGTTTGTTTTTTCGCACAAAAAGTATTCTCGTCGCTTGATAATAGTTGAGCCACTGTAGTCACATGGAATATTTAAACATTTTCTTCATTGACTTTCTGGGCCGACAAAAGTCATGTGGTAGTTATACAGCTCTCAAATTTAATAAAAAATATCTTCATTTGTGTTCCGAAGACGAACGAAGGTCTTACGGGGTTGGTACAGCATGGGGGTGAGTAATTAATGACTTAATTTTCGTTTTTGGGTGAACTAACCCTTTAACAGAGGATATGAACCAGACAAGATTTCCAAGTGAAAGGTGACGGAACAAACATCCGCGCACACATGCACATTGCGTAATCGTAACGGACCAATGGTAGTACAAAGGTGTTTACCAGCCATACCAAACATTGCCAGAAAGTGAACTCCCAAAACAAACTCCAATCAAAGCTTATTTCGGCCCGAATTTTGTTCAAAATTACATCAAATAAGTTAGATCTGTCACCTTTGATTTACTGCATCCTTTCCTGGATAAAAAAATTTGATCTTTTTATTCCTTCCATTACAGACCCCAAATTTTTCAATTAAAGTGGTCCCACCATACTTAACATAAATGCCACATACTGATGATCTTTAAAAAGACTAGTTTTTACATTTTGAAAGCCAAACCTTGCCAGAAGTAACTGCCAGGTCCTCCAAGCACCACCTTTCCTTCCTGTAACATAGCAACAGTATCCAAGTGAGATCAGAAGTGGAAAACAGCAGATATGGATTACATTTTGAAATCTGTTCTACTCAGTTCTAACAATGTCTCACCTGAGTAAAATCAGCACTGAATCCCCCTTGACAGTAGCCTTGTCCTTTTCTTCCATGAAATTCTGCAACGGACAACAAGTTACGGTCCTCTCACTTCAAAACAACTTCTATTGGACAGTGCCTTAACAAATCATCGCTGACTTCAAGCCCACCTGTGCGACACGGAGCGTATTCCACAAACTTGGTGAAGTTTTCGACGGCCAGAAAACATGAGCCAGTAGTATCAGCACCAGGTATGTCCGCCATGGTTCTCCATGAGTAAAGGGGGGCACAAGCCTATGGAATGGATAATGCTAGAAGTTAAAGGTCAACTCTATAAACACAAAACCCACATGCTAGCGGAGTGCAAAGAAGACACTAAGAGAGGTCAACAGTTAGTTCTGGAGTAAAGCAACCATGACCATAAATCCAGGTCACGGTTTGATAATCCATGAAGAACAGCACCTGGGCTGATGTTACAGACAGTAATCCTGCATTGTCCACCAGACAAAGTTCGAATTCAGAAAGAAAACGAAGGAATTAAGGAATAAATAGAGCTGGATCTGATTGGTTTATAATTTGAAACTTACACAGACAATTTAGGAGCGTTGTTAGACTTGATTCACTAAACATTATTCGTGTGATCGAAGGCAATGTGATGCGTAATGTAATGGCAATGTAATGTTTTTTGAATGAGTCCAAACTGAATATTACACTGACTATTTTTCACACGGTCAAAAATAGAAGTAAAAAGATCTTACCAGCACACTATCTTCATGCACTCGTACTGTTGCTCCAAACCACTGATGGGATTTGAACTCTCCTTGATGCACAGTTGTTCCATTTACAGTCACGTTAAGATCTCCTACAGCAAGAAAAAAGAATTATAGAAATATACATATTAATATATTATATTGATTTAATATAATATATTATATTGAATTTCATGGAAGAAAAGGACAAGGCTACTGTCAAGGGGGATTCATTTTACTCAGGTGAGACATAATATATTGTATAAATTTTAATATACATGAATATGATGATGATACCACTTATGAACAATAGAATAAAAGGATAAATAAGTAAAATAAATGATCAATTAATTTTGTTGCCCAGTATATTTACAAAAACACAAATGTAATAAATGTGAATGTTGTTATTGTGCACAATCCATCATTAATTGTCTTTATAAGGAAATAATGTGTTACCAAAATAATAGGCAAGAATAAATATTAACTATGAATATCAAATCACATTTCACAATTCTGTTACACTCAGTAATGTGGCATCGCTGTTTAATGTGTTGTGAATGCAGTTCCATGTTGATTTTAGGTGCTTTAAGACCCATAATAAAATGAAAAGTCCAAGAACAGACTGTACAAAGCAGGCTCAGGTGTCCACTGAGGTTAAAGGCCATATCATGAAGGAGGCACAAGAAGGAGAAAAGACAGATGGTCACATATGGGCTGAAATCAAAACAAAGGTGACATATCCTGACCAACATGAGGGGTGGGGATTCAACAATAAGATCACTAGACCAAGACCATCAGTGCTCAGGTTCAACTGCCACTAGGCCAGAACATCTAAACGCCTTCAAAACACTCCGTTCCCATCCCTGACTGCCAAACTGAACTGGGCCACAGACATTTCTCAAGTTGCACCATAATTACAAGCATGATGCAACAGGGTTCTGTGGTGTGATGGAGGGGAAGGGGGAATGAGATCTTGAGGAAGAAGAGAAATGAGTGAAAGGTACAACTGGCGGTAACACAATTCTCAGCTGGCTCTGAAGAGGGGCTGGTCTCATTCGGAGAGAAGAAACTGCGCCAGGAACCTTCATCCAAACAAAACAGGAGCTCAAGTTGTGTGGGTTAATATTGTGAAAACTGTCAAGAAATGTCTGGATCATAGTGCAACCCCAAATCAAAAGAAGTATAGACAAAAGTCTATAATTAAATTAGCCAAAATATTATTTTCATAAGCAGGCATCATCATTAGATTTTATCATAAAACAGTAATGGGGAAGAAAAATCCAAGAAACAATTGTCACTAAAATAATGTCATAATACAAAAGTAACAATGGTACTAAAATAGGCCTGATAAAATATTTATGCAAAAAATCAATTTCAATTCTAGGGTGAAATACTATCCGAACATCGCTTTGCGTGATTCATCCAATTGGTAACCCAATTTTACGGTCTAAAGAGACCGTCTCATTCTGAGCGAGGAAAGTGCCAGGAATCCTCATCCAAGCAAAACAGGAGCTCAAGCTATCTGTCAGATACACTCCTACAGATACAAACACACACACACACACACACTCTCTCAGCTCATAGCACTCCTCACCTTCCTCTTCCCTTTCTCAAAGTCTGTCATCCCTTTCTAGGAATTCCACTTGATTATTTTCTCTGTTTAAGTCACCAACTCCCACTCATTCTTTTACTATCTTGTATGGTTTCTTTATCTCCCTCCACTTGTCATCTCTGTAAATTGTCCTATTCCTTTCCAAACCACCCCTTAACCCAGATATACACACACATACACGCCTCCTTTTCCCCAGAGACCTTTTGTTTCCTTCTCTCGAGGATGTTTGGTACCCCAGTAGCAAAGCAGTGGGGATTAGAGTCCTCTAATAACATTAGAGGATATATGCCTTATGGTCACCTCCAGGGTGATGGTTTTCTCTTTCTTTTCCTCCCTGTCTTTCCCTTTCTCACTGCCAAAGTAAAGAAAACCAGCAGCCCTGCCCCAGTGAGATTCCTTACAACTGAAAACTCAAGTGTGTGTAGAGCGCTCCAAGACACGGCATATGGAAGACGCCGTGTCCTCCTGGTGCGCAGTTGGGGAGGACAGTTTGTGGGACGAGAATCAATCAACGTCAATGGAAGTGGACCGTTAAAACTAACAATTATCTCACTTAACTTTCCACATCATGGGTGAGGTGGGAAGATAAAGCTCACTGGGGAAGGTGGGGAAAATGCTGTTGTTTGGTTACAGTTAGGGGAGGACTACCCAAAACTGGAAGAGATTTGTGTCAGAATGACGACCATGATTATTTAAGACTTGGATGCAAGATATCGTAGAGTTACAGCAGTTGGAGATTGAATCTAGATTGAAGCTCTAATCTAATTGGATGGCTTCACTCAACTCGAGCAGTTTTATGATTGTAAACGAAATCTAGACCATTTAGTTTTTTAGTTTGAAAAATTAGAGTGCAACAGTTCATTTCAGTTAATCTAAATTTGATATTATAAACTCAAAACAACCCACCTGCATGAAACAAAATAATGCCACTAGAAAACGGTAACACTAGACTGTGCTGAGAAATGTAACAATTTTGTATTAAATATAAAATAAAAAGTAAAACTAGAAAACATAAAAACTAAAACTAAGACTAAACAAAAACTAAAATGATGTTCTCGTGCAACAATGCGTGCTTCTGAGAAAGAATTAGGGCGTTTTCACACCTGAAAGTCCGAACCAAAGTTCATGTTTTGATACATTTTATAAAACTTTCAGAAAGTTTTGGTTTGGTTTCACAGTGCAATTATGCGAGCGCACTAAATACCTTTACATGACATACTTGCGTCCTGTCGTCATCATCTATGTGGGCTGCATCTTGACATTGATTGGTTTAGTAAATGGACGTGCATCTGACGTCAACGTGTTGTCAATTTGCCGGGTAACTTTGACGACATGAACGAACAGACGCATATCGTTGCAACTATATTATTATTTTTTTAGATCTATAGTTAAGATCTATAGAATTATTATTATTATCGCGCGAACATTTTATCGCCGCCGGCAGGAAAGGAGGAGAAGACTGCAAGTTGACTTCTCATTATGTCATCAGACCATAATTCAATTAAATAGCTCGTCTCCTCATCTCCCCATGTACAACACGGCTCATTTCTCCTGCCACCCTGTTTTTTCGGCTTTTTGGGGACCTTCCTTCCTTAAAAGGTCTGAAAGTCTGAACCACACATAAATGCTTTCACACTATAAATGGACCAAACCTTTTTTCAGTTTGATCCGGACCGAGACTACCTCTTTTTGTCGGACCAAATTTCATCTGTTTGGTCTGGACCGTGGTCCGGGGGAGGTTTCAGGACCTAAAAGTCAGAAAGTCCGGACCAAACAAGGTAGGTGTGAAAGGGCCCTTAGTAACTGGAGTTGGTTCATGATTCATTGAACTGAATCTTTTACAGATATACAAGCATTTTAATTGTGGAAATTAAACCAGACACTCTGTTAATGTTAATTCGGTTAAATCCAATTTCAGATCTTAAATGTCACATAAAAAGTGAAACTTTTACATGTCTGAGTGGGTGGTTCTTGGCTGGAATAATCTGCGATTTAGACCCGACTTTAGTCTGGTAACATGAGACGAATTCTGATGTAACCTAGAGGATTAAAGAGGAAGTTTTCCAGCAATTAAGGCACCTTAGGAGACACCTCTGCTGTGATATACAGCCATTTTAATCAAAATTCCCCCGATTGCTAATCCTATGAGTGCTCTCAGATCCTGGAGCCAGGCCAAGATGACCCGGCCGACTCTCTCGTGGGATCGTGGAGGTGAGGAGGTCACACACACACCTCTCTCTTTCCGCGATGAGAGAACCACCCCATTAGTGGAGTATCTAAGATCTGTGTAAGAGAAAGGGAGGGTCAGGAAGGGGTAGCGGAAGGCACGAGCCACATGGCTAAATTCAGTCATCACATCAAGTGTCTCTGGGGAGACGCCGAGAGACAGGGAAATGATTCGCTCGCTCTCCTCTGATTCCCACCCACTCTCTTTTCTCGTTTTCTCATTATTCTCTGTTATTTTCTTATCAGAGAGGAAGAGGAAAGGGGTCAGATCTGAAGACACAAGCTAATGCTCTCTCTGACTAAGGGATGTTAGGCAGGAGGAAGTACAGTACTATGGCTTTTCTAAGTGGCCCACAAGAGGTTCACAATGACGCATCAGTGGCCGCAGGGTCAAGCCCTGATTTAAGTGGTGAGATCTTTATTTGATATACGGTATTTGCAGTGACTAAATGGCCGTGAACTAAATGGGTAAACTATTACAACAGTCATAACATATAAACACGGAAAGACCTAACATGAACTCTTAAACAATGACATATGCTTTCAACTGTAAAAATGATAATAATAATAATAATAGGGGGGAAAAAGAAATAAATAAATTAGGAAAACAAAACAAAACAAAACAGGAAAATAAAGGGAAAATTAACCTAGTCTCCTAACTTCTGAGGCTAGAAAGGCCTAATAAGAAATTATATATTTGCTAATAATAATAATAATAAAACACAATCAAATAAAATAAAAAAGGGGAAATTAATTCCGGAACCAAGGGTGCTTAAAAAGGTGCTTATTGTCATGCTTTATTTCAGGTTATTGCTGAGACTAAAGAAAATTGCATAAAAACCACTTGTCAAAATATCAACCATTTCAGATCTGTCAGGAAGTATTGACATCTAATTGAATGATCATTGGATAAGCATTAACCTCCAAAGCTAAACCAGCCCCAGCCATGCATCACACGTCACGGGGTATTAGCGTAACTCAATTACGCTCTTCTGCCAGGCTATCGAGTTAAACCAAAACAAAATTATCTTTTAATTAAAGTCAAACGTAATAAAAAGAAGAGCATGACGTTTTACATGAGTCCTAAACACACAGCACGCTTGCAGCCCTACATAGCAAAATCTGCTATATGACGACGTCGCTGGCATATGCAGTGCATCACGAGAGAATAAGTCTGTAAAAAGTTTTCGCTGGAACATTTGTCCGTGTTTGAGTAATATGCAGTAAATCACAGCTCGAATGTTCAGAGGAGACTGATTCCGCAGGAAGAAAGCCAAGAGTCTCTCACTGAGATTGGGAACACTTCATTGTCCCTTGACATGTGTTCTACATACTCAGCAACTTGGATCAGTTCTTAAGACTCTGAAGTCTGATTCAAGAGAGACAATTCACAATTGATAGAGTGCTTCGTGTGGTCTCTGCATATTCTTTTTCTCGGTTGCTGTAGTGCACAGAAATCTGAATGCATTTTTTATGTTTTACGTCACCGCCACAACAGAAATTATTCTGGCATGGTAAGTAGATCAATGACCAACAATGCGAGCAATGTCAAGATGCAGGCACTAACAAGACAGCCACAAAATACACTCACCGGCCACTTTATTAGGTACCCCATGCTAGTAACGGGTTGGACCCCCTTTTGCCTTCAGAACTGCCTCAATTCTTTGTGGCATAGATTCAACAAGGTGCTGGAAGCATTCCTCAGGGAGTTTGGTCCATATTGACATGATGGCATCACACAGTTGCCGCAGATTTGTCGGCTGCACATCCATGATGCGAAACTCCCGTTCCACCACATCCCAAAGATGCTCTATTGGATTGATATCTGGTGACTGTGGGGGCCATTTGAGTACAGCGAACTCATTGTCATGTTCAAAAAACCAGTCTGAGATGATTCCAGCTTTATGACATGGCGCATTATCCTGCTGAAAGTAGCCATCAGAAGTTGGGTACATTGTGGTCATAAAGGGATGGACATGGTCAGCAACAATACTCAGGTAGGCTGTGGCGTTGCAACGATGCTCAATTGGTACCAAGGGGCCCAAAGAGTGCCAAGAAAATATTCCCCACACCATGACACCACCACCACCAGCCTGAACCGTTGATACAAGGCAGGATGGATCCATGCTTTCATGTTGTAGACGCCAAATTCTGACCCTACCATCCGAATGTCGCAGCAGAAATCGAGACTCATCAGACCAGGCAACGTTTTTCCAATCTTCTATTGTCCAATTTCGATGAGCTTGTGCAAATTGTAGCCTCAGTTTCCTGTTCTTAGCTGAAAGGAGTGGCACCCGGTGTGGTCTTCTGCTGCTGTAGCCCATCTGCCTCAAAGTTCGACGTACTGTGCGTTCAGAGATGCTCTTCTGCCCACCTTGGTTGTAACGGGTGGTTATTTGAGTCACTGTTGCCCTTCTATCAGCTCGAACCAGTCTGGCCATTCTCCTCTGACCTCTGACATCAACAAGGCATTTCCGCCCACAGAACTGCCGCTCACTGGATGTTTTTTCTTTTTCGGACCATTCTCTGTAAACCCTAGAGATGGTTGTGCGTGAAAATCCCAGTAGATTAGCAGTTTCTGAAATACTCAGACCAGCCCTTCTGGCACCAACAATCATGCCACAATCAAAGTCACTCAAATCACCTTTCTTCCCCATACTGATGCTCGGTTTGAACTGCAGGAGATTGTCTTGACCATGTCTACATGCCTAAATGCACTGAGTTGCCGCCATGTGATTGGCTGCTTAGAAATTAAGTGTTAACGAGCAGTTGGACAGGTGTACCTAATAAAGTGGCCGGTGAGTGTAGTTCATATAAAGATTGAACATCAGATTTTTTCAGTCACGTGACACCATTCCAGATATATTTTTGCTCTAGATGTGAATACATGACTTCCAGAAACAAATGACATAAAACCATCTCTATTTAGCCATTAAGCAGTTTCTGCCTTCCATGTTAAGAAAATCAAATATTTTAAGAAAATCTGAGCCTGCATATATATCAGGAAGTCTGCTCGAGCACTTGTCTGCCCTCTCTTCCTCTATATCCCATCTTCCATCACCCTCTCAAAGCAAAGTCTACACAAAGAAAGGCAACCCAAAACGTTTCAAGCTTTAAGGAAGCCACATAATGGAAAGAGCAGATATCAATCAACACTGAGATTGTTTTGGGGAGGATGTCGAAACTTAAGTCAAAATACTGGATCCACTTTAAGTTCCGGTAAACAATTAGCAGTAGACATTGTGTACCAATTTAGCTGCGCAAGCTTAAAAAACTTGATTTGAGGAACAAAACCATAGTGTGTATTCTAGTGATGCACCAACATTTCACTAAAAAATCAATTTGGTGCATTTAATCCATCTACACCCAAATCACATGTGTAATATTGGTGTTTAAAAGGAGCACAACGACTGGTTAGTGAGACTTACCCTGTCTATCGAACTCTATGCTGCTGCATTGTGATTGGCTGAGGCTCCACGGACAGTAGAAGACTGATCCTCCTTCTCTGATGTTGGGCTGACTGGTGTTGGCTTTGGGTGCTCCAACTATAATACTCACACTGTTCAAGAAGGGGAAAAAAAGATGAAGGAAGATGGTTAGCATGCTAATAAGACTATGATGAATATTTATAAGAGAGCAGGAAGTACAACAGTGTTCCAATTCACAAAATATCTATGGGACAATTTGTCAAAAGGTTTGGATTCAAACATCAGAGCTGTAAAGAAACAATGCTTCTATGTAAAACATCAGGGTTGAGAAGCCATTTTATAACAGTAGCTTGTTGAAGTTGAAGATCTAACAGAATTCATTGAGAAGTCATTGAAAATTAACATTTTTGGGTGAACTATCCCTTTAAAATTAAAATATAATCTTTGAGGAAATGGACTGTCTCCTACCATACAGAGAGAAATGATGTAACAGAGTGGCCCTACGCAATGGTTGATAACCTGTTTTTAGACATGTGACCACCAAAACGCAACCACACACACACCAGTCCCACTGGGTAATAGGTCAATGAGAAAACAAGAGCCAAGCCTGCTAAAGTCGAGTTAGCTCTGCTCACAGCTGTTTTCCCCCTGGGTTATTATAAACACACCAGCTGCAAATATTTGAACACATACAGACAACACACAGCCACACACTAAAAGCATGTTCTCTAATTAATGTACATGTTAAAACTTCACAAACTAAAACTTCTCGACAGAGAGAATGAACTTGTAGTTGGACAGGACGAGAAAAAGGAGGTGGGACATCTGTTTAAAATTGCATTTTTACATTCTCTGAATATATTGTGCCGGGAAATTGCTATGTGGTTTCTAAGGTGTTCTGATTGGTCTTTAGCAGGATGCCATGTGGTTGCAAGGTGGTTGTATGCCTGTATGATATTCTGGTCTCTAAATATGGCTCAATTCCCTCCCTTTGTTTAAAAGTATGGAGTCAATAAATTTTTTTTAAGAAATTAATCCTTTTATTCAGCAAGGATTCATTAAACTCAACAAAAGTTATGTTAAAGAAATGTATGATTAAAATTTTAAAAGAATGCTGTACTTTTGAAAGGTCTCCTCATATTTCCACAAAAATATAAAGCAAACTGTTTTCAACATCTTGAGCATCATCATAATTAGAATGATTTCTGAAGGATCATGGAGTAATGATGCCGTCACAGGAATAAATTACATTTAAAATATAGTAAAATTGAAAACACTCATTTAAATTGGAATACAATGTCAACAATCACTGTTTTTATTGTATTTTTGCATAAAATCTACTCTCTAAAAATTGCTGGGTTGTTTTAACCCAACTTTGGGTCAAATATGGACAAACCCAACCATTGGGTACCCAACGTTCGGGTTTGTCCATACTTGACCCAAAGTTGGGTTAAAACAACCCAGCATTTTTAGAGTGCATGCAATCTTGGTTAGCAGTCTTTTGAACGGTATTGTAAATCTATGGGATTTTTTCCATGCATTCTTATATCTACTAAGTGAAAACTATAAAAATGATCATTTAGAAAGGTAATAACACATGGCATCTTGAGATTTGACATTTGAAACAAGCTCTCTGAAAAGTACCCAACAGTTAGAGAGCCACTCCCACAGTCCCTGCTCTTCTAATCTGTGTCTAATTTTCCAAGAGCCGGCATGGATTGGTGCAGTGCCGCCATGACCTCATTGTCTGTAAACTTACTATCATCTTTCCTGTCATTAAGGCCAGTCCATTGAGAGATGGGGGGTGTGGTGGAGGTGTTTGTGAGAGGGCACTGAGGGCATCTCCAGGGGGGGGTCAAGGTACAGGAAGAGAACACCCTTTCCTGCCCCCTGGGCCGGTCTCAGTGACGCGGAACAGAGGACTTCCTTACAAAGGCTGTATTCAGAAAACCCTCCGGTCAGCCATAGAGACTCAAGCCCACTTTAGATGGACTGTCGAGATAGAGTTATATAGGTAGGACCAGATGACCATTTAGGTCAAAAACAGCAGAGCAAACAAGAGACAGTGAGTTGACCGCATCGTAAATGAGAGGGCTGGATTTTCTCAGCTGTTATTTACAAAAAACAATGTCAAAGAGTTGAACAAAGAGTATATCATCATCAAGGTCTATAGCTTCATGGCCATCCTGTACTATGGAAATACATGCCATTTGTAGCTCTTAAATATCATTGTCGTTAATTGAAAGCTGGAAACAAATGTATATTGAAATATTAGATGGAAAAACACTAACTAAAAAAAAAACACATGGCAAGTTTTTGAAATAAATAGGCTTGTAAAAAAACACAACTAAACAAATTATTTTATTAATAATAATAATAATAAAGGACAAGCATTGCTTAGAAAATAACACATTTACTAATTAAATAAAAAAAATCCTGTAAATATAAAAATTAAGACTGTCAAATGAGATTAATCTCATCCAAAATAAAAGTTTGTTTACACAATATATGTGGGTGCACTGTGTATAATTATTTATATAAATACACACACATGCTTGTGTATATAAATACTGTATATAGATTTATATTATATATATAAATATTTCATATACAAATAATATTTTTTTCTTAAATATACATGCATGTGTGTGTGTGTGTATTCATACATATAAAATAATTATACACAGTGCACACACATATATTAACACATACTTTTATTTTGGATGCGATCAATCGCGATTAATCGTTTAACACCCCTAATAAAAATAAAAGGTAATTAAAAATATTTGGAAGTTGACTTTAATCGCTTTTTATTTCATGGACCGTTTCCAAATCCTGCACTGAGAGGAATACCAGACAAAAAGGAAAAGGCCTGAACAATTGACTGACGGATAAATAGGCAGGACATTAAATGTGGAAATGTTTGTTAGGGTCACGACACACCAGATTTCAAGGCCACTACAAGTGGAGCACAAACACACACATTAAAAAAAGCAGACACTCCATGTGTTTTTATAAAGGGGAAACCAAAACAAAGACCTCTTCCGGCTTGGAGAGAGTATCCAGTTTTTCCACCATATGTGTGTATGGACAGAGGGAGTGTCCCAGAGGTGTTACAGAGCACTAGCTGAGGTGTAATGTCAATCCCAGATTCCCACGATGGCTTTCTCCAGGGAATTCGTAATTAAATAGTACATCTTGCAATATTTTCCTACTCTAGATATCATCGAGAACACCTTAGGGATGTCCAAAACTAAAATGTGAACAGAACAGGCTTATCCACCACCTCATTTGAACTCAAGCACACTATGAATGAACTCAAGTGCACTAGTCTGATGAAATGTTATGTTGCTATGATGCATGTGAAGTGCGTCTAACAGCTGCAAATCCACTAACTTTCCCAAGCACTTTCACTCTTTTCCTTGAGTTCCTGGAATGCTTTACACTTACACTACCGCTTTGGCTGACTGCTCAAAAGTGTACAGTTACAGTAAAGCTACAAACGTTCCACTTTTGTTATGATGAATTACACAAGTTCAGTCTCACTATAGTTGAGTTTTACCTTGAATGCCATTGGTAGTTTCCAAGCAATGCAAACCCAGTACAAAAACTAGAAACAAGGTTGCTGTTTAAGTACGATAACCGCCGTTCACTTGCAAGACAAAAAGCTAATTACATGGCACACATTCCGGTACATTAAGACCTAATCATACAGTCAAACGTGCCTCTTTAATTGATGTAAAATTATAATATACAAAACTCACCATCAAACACATATAAAAGGAATTTTAGAAACAAAATTGCTTTCATCAACAAGTGGAAATAACTGTGTCTTCCGCCTAACACTCAAGCTAATGTAGCCTAAACCATACCATTTTGATAATGATCTGAAAGAACTGTAAATAAGAAACAATTAGCATGTAATGGGGGCTTATCTTACGGGGGGATCTCGTCTCTCCTAAATTTCCTTCTTTTCTCCATGCACTGAATGCTTAAACGTTGGGTTAACATTAGCATAATGATAAGAGCCAGATTGCTCTTGGCTTAGATGCTAGCTTTTTGTAACGGCTCCACATAAAATGAGAAAAACTTCAGGAGGCCTTCCAGCAGAGAGATTGCCAAAGTGAAGCTCACTTTAATTAAAACAACCTGGCCTTGTACGAGAACAACAGAATGTTGTTTCAATGCAGTTATATGGAGAACAAATTTGGCTTTAACTGTTATTAGCATCTGGTGATCAGAATTATTTGGTAGGTCAGGTTATTGTCTTTGGAGGCTGTTGTCTTAAAGGGATATTTCAGCCAAAACTGACAATTGTGTCACAATTTACTCACACTCATGATATTGCAAACCTGCATGGCTTTCTTAACACATTCTCATCCCAAGATGTCATCCAACTGACGCTTTTGACCATACGTCAACATCCGCCGTTTTAGGGTACCCTTTAACGTCAGTTAGATAACGCTATCCTGGGGCGTCATCCAACTGACGCTTTACCTTTAATGTCAGTTAGGTGACGGGGTAGGTTTAGGTCTGGGGTAGGGTTAGGATTAGATAACGCCATCTAACCGATGTTTAAGGGTACCCTAAAATGGCGGATGTTGACGTATGGTCAAAAGCGTCAGTTGTATGACGTCTTGGGATGAGACTGGGATATTTCGAAATTTGTTTCTGTCCATCAATGATTTTGTTTTGGTCCCATTTCACTTTCATTAGGCCAAAAAAAAAAAAAAACACTTTGAAACATTCTCCAAAATACGAAAACACCAAAGAATCATTCACTCAATAATGCAAGGAACATGCATTAAGTAAATAGAGTTAGTTTGATTTTACATTGATTTTTAAGAGTAAAAACAACATTAACACCCTTTGTGGTATCTCTAAAACAGACAACCGCTGACTCCAACCAAGACTCCATTCTTAGTGTGGCTCTAATTAAGCTAATTGAGTTAGTCTGAAAATCAGGCTTGAATGCGTTACCACTGAAATGCTAAGCTTGCTAGATACTCACCACTGAGGCAAAGTACGTCTTAACATTTAACCCATCACTTTTGAGGTTTGGTAATCAGACCAGAATTAAAGCTATAAAAATAAATTGGTGTGCCACATGTCATCTGATCTACTTAAGTTG